CTTATCAATCTGGATGTTACATATGCGTATAATCATCACATATATGAAATAAAAGTCTCAAACTGGAGTTTGCGATGGATCACAACATGATACAGCAAAGTTTCCAACAAGGGATATATATGACGACGTCATACAAATTTTTATGTCTCAAGTCTCTCAAAGTCAATAAAAAAAGTCGATAGCATTGTCTCATTGTCAGAATGTAGCACTATTACATTATTACAATGAGACAATCTACTATTATTAATATTTTCAACAAAATCATTTAAAGTCAGGGGTTCATGAGTATATGTTGATAAAATAAGGAATCCTACATAAGTACAATATTACAAAAGTCAAAGTCATCTCAATGCAGTATTCATAACATGGTACAATAAACATTATTAATACGCAATTCCAGTTCTGTTTGCTATAAACAATATGCATAAGCTGCGCATTGCTTTAATCCAATTTACATTCATCTATGACTTCTAATACAAGATAATAATTTTTTTATAACTTAAACAGCAAAATGTATGCATACAGAATTAGATTGTTAATGGTAAAACAAAAAGAAGAATTTAATTATTACTATTTAACAAAAGAAAACAAGTAATACCTGATAAAAATGGTAATACTGCGCTAGTCATTTAAAAGCTAAAATAACAAAGACTCTAAAATGTATGTATTCATTATTGCAGTAGAAAACAAGAAGAAACACCCGAAAAAGTATTTACAGTCCACAGAACATCAAACACCTCGGCATACTTAAATGACCTACAATAAGGAACAAGACGCCGTGACGTCATAGCTGTCATGGGTAAAGCCACAATAACCAGTGAAGTAAATGATTTTAAAAAAATCTTATAAAAACAAATTACACACCAAACTACTGTTAGATGACAATTGCTTCCTATACTCTAAAACAGCAAAAAATTATGTTTAAGATAGAAGTTATATTTTCAAATACAGTTATGCTTCTGCTGGAACTGATAATTATATAGATAAAATTATAGACACAAACTTTAGGCTTTAACTATTACATCTATTTTAATACTAAACAAATCCTACTCTCTACGAAAATAGTAACTTCATAAAATCACCCAACAGCTTAATTCTTAACTTAAACATTTATTCATAGGAAAAAGTTATCAACAATCCCGTCAGAGAATTCAATAAGAAATGAAGTAACAAAACAATGCAACAATGAATCACCTCAATGGCCTGACCTCCCTGTGACTGCTACAAACAGAAACAATGTACGATCAATTGATTTTTTTAACCTAGTAAAGGTCACAATGTTCATATTTTTTTCACTTCGCCAATTATGTAATACTGATGAATCTGACATACAAGAAACTGATGTTTTGCCTATTTCTTACGTATTTCAATAACGTAAAAGTCAGAAGCAAAAGTCGCATTTTAATTCTCGGTAACATTTCCTTGTCATGTACAATTGGCTCGAACAATTGTCCAGTCACGAGAGAATGAAGACAAATGACAATCAGTCGAGCAGCTGCAAACTAAATCGAATCGGTTTCCTCAAAACACTTTTCCTCTATCAAAACAAGGCCAATAAAAACAACAAAAAGCATGAGGAAAGAAATGATTAAAAGCAGTTATACTGGCTTATCTATACATTATACAAAAACGAACAAAGCTCCTTGACCTTAACCAGAGCATGTTAAACTAGCAATATGTCTCAGAAGATTAATCACTCAAGTTGACATACAATTTTCCACACAGCCATAAAGACCAACGCTCCAGGAATGCGAGGATCTTGGCTATGTGCCATGTCGTGAGAAAACGAGACAGAAATATTTAACTGAAATTTATTAAAGCTTGATTAAGACTAAAGCATGACTTATTTAATTATAACATATGTTCATGAATATTAAGAGTAAATTATTATATACAAACAACATTAATGTATTAAGATAATTCATTAAATATAATGAGCATTGCAAACTGACATACAACTGATATCTTTGAATACATTTAATTAAGGGTGAGTTGCATCAAATCGCCGGTTATCGTAAAAGTTATAATAGGGTTACAAGTGCAAAAACATATTCTCACAGAGGTTTTATGTATTTTTCGTTTTTACAATGGAAACATTTAAACCTGAATGTCACTAAAGTGTCAAGAATGACATTTACGTAAATTAAAATGTTTGGAAATTCATGTTTCGCCGATTACATTTATGTATTCATACGCATGGTATTTTATAGTGACATAAACTTTTTGCCCACGGAGATGGAGAAAATGGCACTCTTGTGAAAATAAACTAGTTTTGGCCATTATTGAAACTGTATTTACTTTACTACTCAAATATGTAGCGCCAAAAATGAAGCAATAAAATTATACAAATATAAATGCATCTTATTTATTTTCCATATTATAAATTGTCCTGTCAATGCATATTATAAATTGACCTTTTATGGAGGACATTTTTTTAAATAAGGGAAAAGGGACAAGCGCTGTTGCTCTGGCCTTAGACACTCGAAATTTGTCCAAACTGAATGTTTGGCCAAATTTCAAGTTCCATCTTGGAAATCCATTATTTCCGGGCACGCAAGACTTTATTCTTCTGGATTACGTATAGGATAATAGTAGAGATTTTCTTTTTCCATTATTTGTGCTTTTGAAGATAAGACCTTGTGACAGTTGACACTACCGAACTGACACTAACCGTAACGCTAACTATAACCGCCCAAAATCGGGCGGTTATGATTAGTGTCAAATATGACGTCATTTTGTCCAGTGCAAAACTGGTGTAGCGAATATCATGAACATCCGGAGACGTAACTATCGGGAATGTGCTGGTTAAGGTTTATAGTTAGTTAATGTAACTCATCCTTAGTAAATTTTAAGGTTATTCCAAATATTACTGTTACAAATAATTTTAACTTTAACGGTAACCGGCGATATGGTGCAACTCACCCTAAGAATATAAAACCGGTTTGTACCGGTTAAAGTAAATTGTATTGGGCTAATGATAATTGATATCATACGGTCAAATGACTGCTACTGAATAATCATATCGCGGTCATTTAAAATTACTAAACTGCTCATGTGATGTGCAGTGACTGTCAAATCTATATGAAATGATATTAAAAAAAAATTATATAGCAATTTTAGTATTTTATACTACTACAATAATTGTTATATGAAAATGAACTTGCTACAAAATTTGATGGTACTGTATGCAAAGCAGTAGTTAATTTGCCTTTGAATTACATACCAAAGGCAGACTGAATGAAATTCCCTGTGACATGTCACAAACTGAGCTGTGTTTGGAAAAGTTTAGATAATTATGGCTACAACTTTTTTATCTCAAAACTATGAACAAAGATTGTAAATATAATACCATCTTAGTTTTTCATATTTCTTAGGGTAGGTCATTAGCCCCCAATGCCCCCCACCCTGGGCCACATCCATGACTTATGTATAAAGAGTTTAACATGGAATTTAAAATCTACAGTTACACTTTGAACATTCAGTGCAGTACCATTAGCTGCTGTAGTAGCTGTCACGAAACAAGCAAGCAGCAGCAGCAAATTTTATATACTTCACAACTCATACTGCCCTTTGAAAAAATAATGTGAATTGATTGAACAAGATTGCATAGAGCTACAACCATTTTTTTCATAATTTTTCATATAAACTAGTGTAACTTGCTGACCTGTGCCATAAGAGTTAAATGTCGTTTATAAAAGAGAAGGTCCATGGAGAAACATTACTTCAAAAAAGGCACTTAATAAACCCATAGGAGTTTTTTACACCATAGACATAATTTTTCGAATCGAAATTTAAGTATATTCAAAATGGTAGGCCCATGCCATTAGCATGTAAAAAGAATGTATACTAGAAACGTAAATCTTTACTCAGGTATTTAAGACTTACCTTTTGCCCAATGCTGTTATGGTGTGCTTGAGTATTCACTGATGAAATTCGTATGAAATTCACAACGATTAATTTTTATAAACACAATTAACCATATGTTACAATTGGTTACAGGGAAGTTTTTATACGAATAAGATGTCAACTGCACACTCATTGAAAAACACAAAATTTATATTAAGTGACTATTTTTTATCACAGTAAATTATTGGTATAAGAAATTTAGCATTATTTAACTCCGTATTTCAGTTAATTCAGGGTATCATTAAGGAACAAAAAACAATAATATTAAAGAGCACAATCAATTAATTTTCGTATCTGACAAGAAATCTGATTGATGTCATTCAGAGTTACAGAGTATCGTTGTACATTTCGATTTTTAAAAAACACAGATCATATAGAAATCGTGAATTTTCTGAATTCTATTTTATTATGTTACATTAATTCTTATTTTACTGACTACATAAAATAAAGCGTATTTGTTGCCTCGGTGGCATATTGTATAAAAAATAATTAAAACATAAGAACAGATCGCTGGCTGCTGAAATTATTAAGATAAACATTTAAATGTCATTCGATAAAAATATTTCGACGACTAAGTAATTGACAAAAAATATAGAAAACACTGAAAATTGTTATACGATGATGCTCAAGAAATGATTTTAGTCACTTAGAATGAACGAAGAAGACCTTCGCTGTTGCTGTTCGCCAAGTGATTGTCAAGTAAAAGTTTTTATATCTTAATAAGAAATCATAATTGACAAATTCCCTCTGTACCCTAAAAATGCGTATTGTACAAAACCAGGGTGGCTAAATGTAGGATGTAAAAGTGCAGGTAGAGGATAGGCCTATCGATAAACATGATTCCGCCTTAAGACGCCATAGCACATTTCTACCATAAAAATTTTATACAAATAAATTAATCTAATAATTTACTACCTTTTCAAATAAGAACTTAGCTACGGTATAAACTAAATCAATAATATAAAATTACAAACATTCGAGACGAAAGGTTTTGAAGTAAGATCCTAAGTACGTTTCCTAAATGTTATTTAACTTTACCCTTTGGACTATTTGCTATCTATGCCTTTTATTTGATTATATTTTGTCTGTGACCTAATGCAAATGAATTTGACGTTTTAGTGAGGTACAAGTCCTAACTTTTCCTTACGTTTTTTGACTAACTTAGCACGAGGTATCTTTCTATTAAAGTGTTAAAGATTAGACTAAATCGTATCTAAACGTTATCCATAACATGTACATGGATTTAACTTATGACCCGGAACAAAACGATAGCGGTATGGAATCACTGACAGCTAGTAAAGATGATACTCCAGAACGTAGACCCGAAGATTCATTTATTACTCCTGTGGTATGAAATAAGTGATCATTATAAATGTACTTGACAGCATTAGCGATGTTTGTCTTAGCAATTCTTATTTCTTACAGCTCGGAACATCACCATCTGCATTGACTCCTGTGTCGGCTGGACCTCTTAAGGAATATGATGATGTAAATATAACCTTTCTTTCGATAAAAAAATGTGTTATTTATAATTATTAGATGCACGTAAATTAAAGATTGCGGTCATAACTGTTACAATGTCTATTGTACTGAGTCCTATCCTATAGGAGAAGCAGAAACATTAGTGATTCCTTTCATTCATCACCTCTATCCCAGTAATAAAGTTAAAAAGATTATTTTATTAAAGATTAGAGATAGAAAAAGATTTTCTTTCATGCTCAATGTTTATATTTATCCAATTATGTTATTTCCTTATTAGGAACCAGATGAAACTCTTTCGGAGAGATTATGGGGATTATCAGAAATGTTTCCTGATCGCGTGCGAAGCGGCACATACACACTGACAACTAAAACTTGGTAAATAAATATTTTAGGCTTTAAATTGTTTGAGCAACAAAAGTTTGAGCATCTTTCAATACTAGTATCTAGATTCGAAACAAAAGAATGTTGAAGTGCTAATAATAAAAATGGCAATTAATTTTTTTACTTAGTATATATGTATGTATATATTTTGTTTTGAAATATTTAAGAACAATTAGAACCAAACACTAAAAAAAAAAATTTATCACTACAATTTTTCAGGTCTGGAGTGAAATCTTTATATGGATTGTCCCGCTCTGTGATGTGGATTTTGGCAAGTTCATCTGTGATTTTATTTGCTCCAGTCATATTTGAAGTTGAAAGAGCACAAGTTGAGGAAATGCAAAAGTCACAACAGAAACAGGTGAGATAAGTAACTAATATATTATATTGTTTTTATAATATGTGAATTGATAATATACCAATACAATATGTATAAGATAATTCATATAAGACTTAGACTAAACTTTGTCAATGATGTCTAGTACTTTTGTTTATGGCAAAATATAGATTATTAATTATCCAAACTCAAATCTAAAAACATATGTCATAGTCATACACTTATTTTTATTTAATTGTGATAATAAAAAGTATTTTGTATTTTAGGTGTTGCTGGGAACTAACACTGCACTGTCAGGACCTATGCCGAACATGCCACCAATGCCACGATAAACCAAAATCACAAAGACTATTTTAGAATTCTAATAATTAATTTCCTATTATGACACACAATACATATGGGAAGGAATTCTTTGCATGTCTATGCTTTAATATTAGTTTGTTAGTTAAATAAATAGGTAACAAAAATATATCCTGGAATATTATTACCAATCAAATTAAACTATTAATGCTTTTCTGTTACAGATTGTATTTTGCTTCATATTACTTTAGTAATTTTACCAAATAAAGGTTAACAGAAAATATAGCATTTAAATTGCATCCAATTTAATTTTCATAGGGTGTATTATATGTATTTGTTATTTTGTTTAATGTCAAAAAAATATTTCCCTCAAATCTAATGCATTTGTGTTTAGGGTTGATTTTTTTTAATGTAGATAATGTTTTATGACAAACTGTTTAATAAAAGGTGTTGTAGTTTATTATGGTGTATAAAATTACTTTTCCACTAAAACAACTAGTATTAATAAAAGGTTCTCAGATGTAATGATTGTAGTGAGGTAGGCTTCTTTCTACTCCTACTCATTTGCAACCAACCAGCCCAAATTTCAAAGTTTTTATGGTTTTCTAGATTGTGAAATTGCGTACTCCGTGGCCTTGCAAATATATAAGAAGGAATCTCGTGGCACTAGCAAATTCAGTCCTTTTACCGCAAGTGGGCACAGTTAGTCAATTTAGCTTGGTTAAGGACTAAGAAAAGAACTTCATATCGTTAAAGCGTTTCGTTTTCAGATGAAACCACCCGAAAACAGCTAGCGTACTATTTAAAAAAAAACAGTATATACTCATGTCGCTACTATCGTCCTACACGACCAATGATGTAAAGTTTTATTCTTGTGTGCCACATATTTAAACTGTTAAGCTTATATTTTATCTGTGGGTTTAACGGCCTTACTCTGCCGCCAACCACTGACATTTGTCAAAATCACTTGACATTTTAGGTCTTTGTGCTGCCAACATTTTCTCGCTTCTCCAGAATTGGGGACCTGAAAATTAAGGGCGTTGTGGTAAAACAAAATAAAAGGACAACTGTTATTTCGTTAGTACTATTAAGTATGTTTATTTTACAATAAACAGAAAAACTTGTATTTTTGCAAAGGCTTGTGTTGTAATAGCTGAGTTATAAAGAATCAAAATGATTCTAAGGACTCCAGAAAGTATATTTTTCTGTTTTAGGGTAAATTGTTGTGGGTAATGGCAACAATGTTGTGTTTGTCATGCATATTTTTATAGTGAGTTTGATATGGGGCTTATGAGTAAATGGTTTATAGTGAAAATAATTTAAAACATGGCTAATACAGGCTTGTTACCTTTTGTAAGAGGTGTAGATTTTACATGCAATGATTTCAGTGTGAGTAAATCGAAATTTTATACTACTATTGACGTATAAATGACTGTAACCTTAGTACTGAGTACATGTCCTAAATGTTACTTATTTTTTAGGGCGACAAATTTCCTGAAGCAATTCGTTATATGACTGGACTACAATGGCTCAGGCTTGATAAAACTAATCTGACGGATATTCCAGAAGAATTAGGGAAGCTTATGAAATTGGTATGTTTATGTTTGCTCTATCCTTTGTTATTAATTCATTTAAAAAAATAGGCATGAGAGAGTACACTTCATTCTAAAATTATTTAAAGTTCATAATGTGATTTATGAACTATATTTATTGTGCAATGATAAAACAAAATAACCTAATATTGTAAATGAGTTACAATACAAACATTGCAATTATCATCATCTCCCCTGCCTTATCCTACTCCCGTAGGGACGGCGATCATTGCGATTATGAAAATAAAATTATAGCACATGAATACATGAATATAGTATATACTTTTATAAGCCTTTGTAATATGCTTGATAATATATATATATTTGATAAACTGTTTTATATCTATATTTGTTAATTTAAGCATATGAAGAACCTAAAAAATAAATATAAATGTTTAACAAAATTTATTTCCACAGGAAAATTTGTCAATAAAAAAGAATAATCTAGAAAAATTATTTGGCGAACTCACTGAACTGAAATGCTTACGATCATTAAATGTGAGGCACAACAATGTGAAGACATCAGGTATACCTGCAGAGTTGTTCAGACTTGAAGAGCTGACCACTCTTGATCTGTCACACAATAGACTAAAGGAAGTTCCGGAAGGATTGGAGAAAGCCAAATCCCTCCTGGTTTTGAACCTCAGTCATAACAAGTAAGATAATGAGTTCTTTAAAAGATAGTTTCAGTACTACTTTCAAGTTATTTGTTAATTCTGAAAACCTTTATACTTGTGGTATATACTATTATGTGGTAATATAGGCTAACAATCAGTCTTGATGATATAAAAACTAGATAATTACTTTTAAGTGGTATGCTTACACAGTGGAGATAGACCTAGAAAGAGATGGATGGTTTGTGTGAATGGTGACATGATCAAGGTGCAATGACTGAGAAGAAGTATGCTACAGTTAATTGGAGGTCAAAAACCCGGTGTGCTGACCTTACGGGAGTAGGATAAGGTAGGGGATCTCCCCTTATTCTTGCTTGATTATATCTATAATGCTTACTGTATGACAGTGTATTTTGCACATTGACTATTAAATTATGGTTATTTAAAGCTGTGTTTAAGCAATAAATTTTATAGAAGTATCATTTGTCCCTTTCTAAAAGGGAATTCCCATAATTAACTGTAATATTAACTCAAAGTATGTACTTTGGTGGTTTAGATTAAGTGTCATGTTAAGTACAATGAACAAAAATATTCTGATTCATTAATGTATTATTATTTATACTACTTGATAACATATGAAATTGCTCCTTTAAGTATTAATTAAAATGTAATAGTGCAACACTATTTTATTATTTGTTTCAGAATCGAGAGTATCCCACCGACACTGTTTGTACAATTAACAGATCTATTGTTTCTTGATTTATCAAACAATTTACTGGAGACTCTGCCCCCTCAGACTAGAAGACTGGCGAACTTGCAGACCCTTATACTTAATGACAACCCGCTAGGATTATTTCAGCTAAGGTCTGTAAATAAAATAATTTATTAATACCCACATAATTTGATAGAATTATTATTAACTGTATAATTGTTACAGGCAGTTACCATCGCTGCAAAGTCTAGAAACATTACACATGCGTAACACACAGCGCACTCTTGCCAATCTACCGACATCGCTGGAGACGCTGTGTAACCTTTCTGATATTGACCTGTCAAAGAATGCATTGACCAAAGTACCTGACGCACTCTACTCGTTGCAAAACCTGAAAAGGCTGAATCTTAGCGACAATGAGATAACTGAAGTATCCTCAGGTGAGTTTACAATTAATCCTCTTTTAAATAGTTATTAACTTTGTGCTTTTAGGGTCAAATCTAGTATGTTTACAATTAGACCCAATTACTGTTAAAAATTTATTAGATACTAGCTGTTGCCCGCGTCTTCGTCTACGCAATTTTAAGTTAAAAAAGTAGCCTATAATATGCCGGTATATGTTAGCTACCTTTCAGTGGAAAGTCCGGTCTAAATTGGCCCAGTTGTTTCAAAGATTACCCGGAACAAACGCGGCTTGCGGACACACAGACTGACAAAGACAAATTTAATTGCGATTTTCGTTATCAGCAACGTAAATACATCATCTTCCCGAAATTTTTCTTTTAATATTACAAACAGACACTCTAATTTTATTATATGTATACAAGTATGTCATTAACTCTAATTTGTTCCATGTAGCTGCAACTGTTTCATGATTAAACATGTCATCAGTCATGTAAGTTTTCTCTCCTACAAATACTGTATAAAACAAGATTGCAACGTAAAGAATGTTTGCATATTTACATCAGTTATCGATAATCGACATCAGTTTGTTTTCACTTAGAATGGGTTTCACTTATGTTAATTATGTGTAAAGTTGAAGCAACATATCATTTTTTAGCGTAGTGTTTTATACTATAGCTACTACTCGCGTCTTCGTCGAAAATGAAATTGTAATAAATATAACCTGTGTGTGATAACATAACCTAGTGATAAGATAGATATTTATTTTTTAAACATTTTTTTTATTTCAATACATACAAAAATACAAATATTTTCTTTTTATAAGTATAGAAAAGTAAAAACTCTTATCTAATATTTGGCTCTCGTAAGCTAATATTTGGTGACATTTTTCCAATTTAGGTAGTGTTAGTATTGGTTTACACTGCCTAAAATATTTATGTAACCATTTGGTTTACAATAACTTTATTACTGTTTTTGTTAACAGCAATGGACATCTGGCAGAACTTGCAATGCCTGAACCTGTCACGCAACAAACTGACAGCACTTCCAGCTTCATTATGCAAGCTTCAGAACCTAAGACGTCTCCATGTTGATGATAACCAGCTAGACTTCGAAGGTATACCTTCGGGGATCGGCAAGCTGGGCAGCTTAGAGGTCTTCTCAGCTGCTAATAATTTATTGGAGATGATCCCTGAAGGATTGTGTCGGTAAGATATTTTTTTAACTAAATATGGCTGAAACCCAATAACCAATCTTAATTTGCTTGTCTTCTAAAATACCAATGCAAGTATTTTGTCAGTGGGAACTTGTAATTGTAAAAGTATTGAAATAATAAAAAAAAATGTTACTTCATACTGATATTGTAAATTCGAAAGTTTGTATAGATGGGTGGATGTTTGTTACAGTATGGAGCCAAAACTACTTAATAGACTTCTATAAAATATGTCACAGATGTAGGAAATAGTCTGAAAGAACACATAGACTATTTGCTTTTGTTTTTTTAATTCCATGCGGATGGAGTCGAAGGCGAAAGCGAGTTTTACATAAAAAAATATGGCAGTCTTAAATCTTAACTTCAGTTGTACATTTAAACATTCTATCTATGTTTAGTTTTATTTTGGTTTGTATGTTAATTATCCAGTCGTGTTTGACGATATTATTTTCATAAATCAATGCACGCTCTGCTAGCCTTGCGTGAGAGTAATTGATACTGCTTCATATTAGACTGGCAAGTGAATTGAGTCAAAATACTAAAAAACACATGTTACAATGTTCATACTGATACATATATTCATGACTTAATTTATTTTAAAACAAAATATCTTAGTTCTTAGTAATATTATAAATGGCAATGGTTAAATGGATGGATGGATGTTTATTGGAGTTTGTAGAGTATGTGTTGGTGAAATTTGGCATAGATGTAGAGGATAGTCTGGAAGAACACATAGTACTACTACTTTTGTTTTGTTTTTAATCCTGCGCGGACAGCGTCGCGGGTGACAGCTAGTTTGTTATAATAATAGTAGCTAGGAGGAAGGGGAGTTAGACTCTACCTAGTTAGAAATCAAGTTGGTAGTGTCATAATGTATTAACCGACTACTGCTTTTTTTCCAGGTGTGGTGCATTAAAGAAATTAAATTTAAGTAGCAACAAGCTAATAACTCTACCCGATGCGATACATCTCCTAAGTGACTTGGAGAGTCTGCAGTTACATGGGAACCCGGACTTGGTGATGCCACCTAAGCCGGTAGAGCAGCAGAGAGGCGCCGGCCTGCAGTACTACAATGTTGACTTCTCGCTACAAGCTCAGCTGCAGCTGGCAGGAGCCACCGCAGCTGAGCCCACTACACCAACCAGTAAGTACTAATTTGCATCAAAAATGTTTTAACACTGCTTTTTAAGTTTAATGCCCGTTTCACACTTAGCCAGTACAGTTAAACAGTTACGACGGTCAGTCTTAGATTATATGGACTTATTGGCGTCAGTTAGGGTTCACACTGTGCCAGTTGTTTGACATTATATTGTACTAGCTGTTGCCCACGACTTCGTCCGCATGGTATTAGAAAACATACGAACTATATAAATAAAAAAAACTTCGTATCCCTCGGGAACCGGAGATTTCTCGGGGAGTGAACCTTGTCCCATGTATACTCTAGACTTTGTTTTATATCTGTGCCAAATTTCAATAAGATTATGTTGAACCGTTGCAGAATGATTGAGTAAACATTAAAAACCTAAATTAATGAATCCCACAGGAACTGTAAATATTCTCGAAGTAAAAGTAGCTTATGTGTTCTTCCAGACTATGCTCTAAACTTTTGCCAATTAATATATATAAAAAATATATTATATAAATTGTAATATTTATATAATATATTTTGTAGGCGTGAAGTCGGACCCACTAGCGCGCAAGCTGCGGCTGCGGCGGCGCGCGGAGGCGGCGGGGGCGGAGCAGCGCGGCTCGGCGCTCATCCTGCGCGGCATGCGCGAGCAGGCCAGCGCGCAGCTCGACGCCGCGCCCGACCTGCACTACAGCGAACTCAAGTAACACGCTTCATTTTTATTGTACTACACACAATTTTTTTATGCGGAAAAGGAGCAAACGCGGTAGGAACTCATGTGGTCAATGACGCTCATAAACATCCGCAACACCAGTTGAACTACAGATGCGTTGACGGCCTAATTTAACATATGATATAATTAAAAGACTTTGTTTGGTGTAATGTATTGGAAAATAATTTTTTTTAGCAAAAACGCAGAAGTATGTATTCTTACTAATATTATAAATGCGAAAGTTTGGATGGATGGGTGTTAGTTTGTAGCGCAAACGACTGAACGGATCTCGATACTAAGTAAATAATTCCGCGCGAACAGAGTCGCAGGCTAAAGCTAGTCTACTGATATATTTTTGAAACCGTTTTCGGTAAGGCCGTTCAGAAAATTTACAGAAAATGTGTTATGTTATCTATACATATAAATATATTTGAATTGCAAACAGACCGAAACGTTGGGACGAGAGTTTGGAGAAGCCTCCTCTGGATTACTCTGAGTTTTTCGACGAGGAGACAGGACAGACGCCCGGCCTGCAGGTCTGGGAGATCGAGAACTTCATACCCGCACCCGTAGACGAGGTATATTTACCAAAACTTTCAAAAGTTCACTAATATTACAAAGGTGTTTGTGTGTAGTTTATTTCAAAGAAATTGTAATACATAACTTTAAACTGTCAAGGTTTTTACAAATATAATGTAGTTTTTGCTCCCAATATTTACCAATCGTGGTAAGAAATCCGAATCTCACGAAGATTAGATTGTAATGCTTTTTTTTTAAATTGGATTTGTCCATAGGTGGCACACGGCAAGTTCTTCGAAGGTGACTGCTATATTATACTGAAGACGTCTATTCAAGAGCAGGGTCAGCTGTGCTGGGATATACATTTCTGGATTGGATCCAAGGCGACCGTAAGTAGGCTTTCTATTATACTTATTCTTTAACATATATATACATTTTTAATCTGTACTAATATTATAAAGAAAAAAGATTTATTTTTGTATGTATTGAAATAACTTAAAAACTATTGGGCCGATTTTTTTTTTCATCATTAAAAAAATTACATTATGACTGAGTGACATAGACTATATTTTTTAATTTCACGCGGAAGAAGTCACGTGCAATAGCTAAAATTATAAAGTGGAAAGAATTAATTCAAAATTTCATAAATTGGCTTCAAAACTACTGAACTGAATTTAAAATTCTTCAGAAAGCTACGTTATCAACGAGTGAAAATTTATATGACTGTTTTTTAAATAACTTATCAGAATGTGTCTATAGATGTACAATCTACATCCTTATAGCATATCTACTATTGAACTATTGCAGTTTCGTTAATGCGTAAAATGTATGACCGTTACTGTGTTTTAGCTGGACAAAGGCGCGTGCGCAGCGATGCACGCCGTCAACCTTCGCAACCTGCTGGGAGCCAAGCGCACGCAGCGACACGAGCAGGGCGACGAGACCCCCGACTTCCTGGCGCTGTTCCCCACGCCGCCCGTCTACATCGCCGGCAGCCGCACGCCGTCCGGCTTCTTCACTGTCGATGATCCTGTAAGTCATCATCACCAGCTCACTTTACGTCCCCACCGAGGACCTCGAAGCCTACCATAAGTTAGCGTGACTAGGCCATAGTCAACCACGCTGGCTTGACTTCACACATATCTTTGAATTTCTCTACCAATATGTGCAGGATGCATCACGATGTTTTCCTTCACCGTAAGAACGTCGGGTAAATTATGTACGCATGAAAATTCGAAAAATCGAGAATCACATTGGTATATGGCAGGATTCAAACGCATTCGAACCCGAAAATGCTAGCAACAGTGTTGAATTATAAAAGGTATACAAGTGGTAGATGTAAGATGGTAATATATGTATTCCAGCACTACGTGACGCGGCTGTACCGCGTGCACGGCGCCGGCAGCAGCATCCACCTGCAGCCGGTGCCCGTGGCCGCCGCCTCGCTCGACCCCAGATACGTCTTCGTGCTCGACACCGGACTAATTATATATTTATGGTATGTCCTTTGTTAAGACAATACGCGACTTTTAGTTCTTCGCTTAGTAGAACACTTGTAACTTACGTGATAACTCAAGCGGTAGTCGCTCTTTCCGATTATTTCCAACTGTCACCCCGCTCTGTCCCCACATGGGGACAGGTGTAACTAAAAAGTTTCATCCGTCCCGCGTTTTAGTCCCACGATCACCAATAAGGTGACAATTAGATCCGTCAAGAAATAAAATGTGTACCAACCGTCCCCTCGACTCAAAAGGTAGGACGGATGAAACTTTTTATTCTCATATGCCCCACTTGGGGACAGAACGGGGTGACGGTTAGAGATAATCCGCTCTTTTTACATTTTTTTAAGTTGTAACTTTTTCATGTCTATCTTAACTCACATGAAAATTAAGAAACAGAATTTTGGATGCTCGACTTAAATTTAAATTGATATAAAATTTTAATTCCTGTTTTTCAAACTATAGGAATGGCAAAAAAGCGAAGAACACTTTAAAATCAAAAGCTAGGCTATTCGCTGAGAAGATCAATAAGGAAGAGCGTAAGAATAAAGCGGAGTTAATTGCGGAGCCGCCGGGGAGGGAGCCTCAGTCGTTCTGGAAGACACTGGGTTACGAGGACCCGGAGCCCTACGTCCCAGAGGTATGTTTACATCAAAAAGTACTTAAGTTTTTTTTTATATTCTGCACAGATGTGCCGTAAAATCTAGTGTATCTATAATAATATAATAAAGCGTAAACACACACTCATTTATTTTTTAACAAAAAACTTTAAACTTACATCACGCTTTAGGATATATTATCACGCTATTAAACTAAGGGGGTAAATAAATTGAAAAAAATCTTCATGTGGGAAAGGGACCCTAAACAAGATGCTAACAGGGAAGCAAGGTTATTATGGTAACAGTAATTTTGACATTTGCAATTGAGAATTTGACAAATGTAAACAATAAAATAAAGTTTTTTTTTTTTTATAATTTGAGGCGGATGGCACGGTAACAGCTAGTCTATACTAATATTATAGAGGAAAGATTTGTATTTTTGTATGTATTGAAATAACCCAAAAACTACTGGGCTGTTTTTAAAAATTCTTTCACCATTAGAAAGTGTTGGATATAGGGAGCAATGATACGACCGCTAGCTTAGTGCAGACTGATTTATTGACATTCGTGTCACACTGACAGCTGGCGCAGCAGCCGTTCTTTAACGCGCACAGATTATGCGCCTATGTACATATACAACAGAAAGGAAATTTATCTGTGAGTAATAGGCTATATTTTATTATTACCAACTAATAATAAATATAATATATTTGTGTTTCAGGAGCATGTGGATGCTTCCTGGAGCTGGTGGCCGCCGCGGCTGTACCGCGTGGAGCTCGGCATGGGCTACCTGGAGCTGCCGCAGCCGGAGCCCGCGCCGCTCGCGCGACACCACCTCGCCACTCGCAACGTATACATACTGGATGCACATAACGACGTCTTCGTATGGTAAATATTATAATATACATATAGGTATATATAAATAGATAGGCGATTGCTCGCCACTTCAGCCGCGTGAAATTAAAAAAAAAGAAAAATTTACTTAGTGATGATGTAGCTTTTTAATAGTAAAATCGCGCAAATAGTTTAGAGTTATTAAAGATTCGTATTTTTGTATATATTGAACATACAAAAACACAAATCTTTATAATATCAGTATAGATAAGCGATTATTTGGAAATTACAGATTTTCATTTGTTTCGACTTAAATATTTTGGTGTGATGACAGTTAAGTCGCTACCTTAAATCCTTACTTAGTAATGTAAGGGTATTTTTCTAATCTAACTGTCTTTAGTTATTATATTAATAGATGGGTAATTAAAAATGGTGTATTTTGTATACAGGTTCGGTAAGAAGTCTTCGCGGCTGGTGCGCGCGGCGGCGGTGAAGTTGGCGCAGGAATTATTCAATATGGTTTCCAGACCTGCGCACGCGCTCGTCACAAGACTACAGGAGGGAACGGAAACACAGGTTATTTACTGTATTACTTTATATAAACTCTATTTTTGTTTACATTATCTAAAAAAAAATAATGCAAACGTCTATGTACAAATATCAAATGACAAAATCCTTGCAATTAGCTGAGAATGTAGGTAATCATGGTTACCTTAGTTCGATGTCGCTATTGGCTTGGATTTTTTGTCCCTTTCTAGCAAAGCAATTTTTACAATTTACTCACCCCGTATGTTTATTAACGTGAAAATATATAGCCTAAAACGTGCCGTAAGAGTGCGCTTTTGATTAAAAAAGTGTTTATCCAAAAATATACTGTGATCACTTACATCTTACATAACAAATGTGCATTTACACTTTATTATGTTAGTTTAGATTTGACATTTTTTTTAAATAGTGTGTTTGTTCCAGGTGTTCAAGACGTACTTCTTGGGGTGGGAGGAGGTGATAGCGGTGGACTTCACGCGCACGGCAGAGTCCGTGGCGCGAACCGGCGCGGACCTCGCCAGCTGGGCAAAGCAACAGGAGACCAAGTTAGTGTACACAATCTTACTAATATTATAAATGCGAAAATTTAGATGGATGGATGGATAGATGGGCGGATGGATGGATGGATGGATGGATGTTTGTTAGAGTTTGCAGCCCAAACGGCTGAACGGATCTCGATGAAATTTGGCATAAATGTAGAGGATAGTCTGGAAGAACACATAGGCTACTCACTTTTGTTTTTTTAATTCCACGCGGACGGAGTCGCGGGCGAAAGCTCGTCTTTTTATAAGGAATAATAGCATTAAAATGTACATTTTGTATGTCAGAAAGGTTCACTTGCCCTAAGTACACAAAAGAAATTAACAGCAACATATCAGTTATATAAAGACTAGGTTTTAAAAGTTTAATTTCAATAACATTTGTATTTCCACTACAATAAAATATGCTGCTTTCTCCGTTTTTTTTAAAAGGCTATATATTGAAACGACATTTAAATATCAACGTTTTCAAAAAGTCATCCGTCCAAAGTATCCGTCCGTAAGAGATGAGAATATTTTATATTTTTGTGCGTTTAAGAGTTTTTAAACGTTTGTTAGAACGGACCTATCCGCACTGTTCGTGGCGCGCCAGGGCGCGATGTGCGCGTCGGAGGCGCGCGCGCTCGCTGACGAGTGGAACGAGGACCTGGAGGCTATGGAGGCCTTCGTGCTGGAGGGGCGCTTCTTCGTGCGCCTGCCAGACCACGAGCTCGGCCTCTTCTACAGCCACGACTGCTACGTCTTCCTCTGCAGATATGTGCTGCCTGCTGAGGTGTGTACCATCATGCTATTTGAAAGATACATATACTGACAGTATTGAAATACCACCAACTGTCACTATGTGATGTCTTATTTGTAAGAGAATGTATGACATCTAAACTTCTATACTAATGTGAAGAGGAAAGATTTGTATTTTGGTATCTATTGAAATAACAAAAGAACTACTGGACTAATAAAAAAATATTTTATCATTCAAAAGCAATCTATGGTATTATCAGTAACATAGGTTATATTTTTTAATTTCACACGAAGTCGCGAGCAACAGCTAATTATTAAAAAAAAGGTTTTATGTATTCTCAAAAATGATTGTCTTGTAAAATACAACGCAGAAGGCTTAGTGAAGAACTCTGTAAGTTACAATACCCATCAAAATACATGAACCTCTAAATGTCCAAGACTCCGTCCGGATGAAATTAAAAAATATAATCAAAAGTAAGTAAACCAGTAGCCTATTTGTTCTTCCAGACTATCCTCTACATCTATGCCCAATTCATCGAGATCCGTTTAGTCTACAAACTCTTAACATCCATCTAAACTTTCGCCTTTATAATATTAGTAAGATTGGTATACCTTTACCTTTACTATGCTATAAACAACGCTAACCTAAAAATAAATTCCAGCCGGATCAAGAGAACACGGAGAACTGGTGCGAGGGTGAAGTGGAACCCGAGGAGGGTGAATCAGCGACGTGGGTGGTGTACTTCTGGCAGGGGCGCAAGGCGCCCAACATGGGCTGGCTCACCTTCACCTTCGGGCTGGAGCGCAAGTTCAAGCAGCTCTGCCGGCGGCTGGACGTGGTGCGCACGCACCAGCAGCAGGAGAGCCTCAAGTTCATGGCTCACTTCAGGCAACGGTTCATCATACGGGATGCCAAGAGGAACCAGCCGCCGGTATATACTAATTGCTAATAAAATATCCTAATATTACATATCTATTCTCTAATATTATAAAGAGGAAAGATTTGTATTTTTGTATGTATTGAAATAACTCAAAAACTGCTGGACCGATTTTAAAAATTCTTTAACCATCAGAAAGATAATTTATCTGTGAGTAACATAGACTATATTTTATTATTATTAATGCTTCTGGACGCCCCCTTTAAGAATTCACTAAACTTTAACTTTTCTGTTTTTCACTTATGTCACATTATTTGAGTACATAGCTAGATTAGTTGAAGGCAGAGTATTTTTTGTAAATTAAGCATAATTTATTTAGACTTATAAATAAACGTTATTACGTTTGTATAATTTATAATGTGATGGATGTTGTTACAGGAGGGCGGGCGGCCGCCGGTGGAGCTGTTCGAGTTGCGCAGTAACGGGTCCGCGCTCTGCACACGACTTATACAGATCAAACCCGACGCAGCACAACTTAACAGCGCATTCTGGTCAGTTTACTGTCACTCAGAGTCGTGAATCGATCATTAAGGGTCCCCTTAGTATAATCCTGATACTAAACTTACACAAAAGGATGTAGTAGTAGTAATTTTATTAGGCTGAGTACAACAGTGTCTTAGAACGCACCTCGACAGCCGACGATCAAGGAATCTACATAATGGAAATATTTTTTTTCAATGACAAAAAATAAACTCAAAAGTTTTTAAGTCTATACAGGTCTTTAGGTGTAGGGATTGTTTATTAGAATTTATATTTGTACATATTTCACAATTTTCAACTGTCACGGACTGCAGCTGCTCCTCCCTTCCTTGCGTCCATGTTTTAGTATAGGTTTAATACAAATAATCAGTTATAGTTACAATCTGTGATTGTATGTGTTTGATAATTTACTTTGTACTGTAGCTACATACTGAACGTGCCGCTGGAGGGCAGCGGCGACGCATCCTCCGCCCTCGTGTACGTGTGGGTGGGCAGTAAGAGCGACGCGGATTCCGCGCGACTTGCGGAACAAATCGCCGAGGAGAAATTCAACAACCCCTGGGTCAGCTTACAGGTAAACTCCTTATTAATCATTTTTTTTTTGACTTCTGTCATTGTAATAAATTTCCAGAATTGGAGACTAGGATTTCTGGACTAGACTATAATTCAAATTAATTTGACTCACTAGCGCAAATGTCAAGGTTCTTTTTGTATTTTACCCGTCTTTTTAATTTTATTTTTTATGTCCATGAAGGTTTTACATATTTTCCGAACCACCAATAGCAGCACCCCTTTTAAAAAAACAGTAGTGTAAGAAAATTTGACCCAATAGGCACAAGTAAAAGTGCAATACCTCACAAGCACCAACTCAATGTTAAAAAGTGCCTTAAGATTATAATTGGACTGTAATCTATGTTATATATTATCCGATTTTTATTGAATTAACGGAGATAGAGACAGCTTACCATCGATGAATCTGTACAATTGATGTTTGTGTGCAGGTGGTGACGGAGGGCACAGAGCCAGATAATTTCTTCTGGGTGGCTCTGGGCGGACGAAAGCCGTACGACACGGACGCAGACTATCTCAATTACACGCGACTATTCAGATGCTCCAATGAAAAGGGATATTTCACTGTCTCTGAAAAGTGCACGGACTTCTGTCAGGTATGGCTATGATCATACATGTTTGTAGGCTTCAAGTGTTCTTTATATATTACTAGCTGTTGCTTGCGACTTCGTTTGCGTGAAATTAAAAGTAAGAACAAATTGTAGCTTATGTTACTCACAGACAAATTTCTTTTCTAACTCTTAAATATTTTTGAAAAAATGGCTCAGTAGTTTTTGAGTTATTTCAATACAAACAAAAATACAAATCTTTCCTCTTTATAATATTTGATAGACAAGCTTTTATCCATGATTCATCTGCATGATATAAAAATAAACGCTACTTTAGCAAATATTATAACTAATGGGATTTTACAGGATGATCTTGCGGACGACGATATTATGATACTGGACAATGGTGAGCAAGTCTTCCTGTGGCTAGGCGCTAAATGCTCAGAGGTCGAGATCAAACTCGCATACAAGTCTGCACAGGTAAATATACACTGCTATCAAAGGATTTTTTTTATTTAATGGCAGCTGACGGTAATCTATTTCATAACACATTAAAACATAGAGCTGTTGTTAATAAGCACTTGTTTATAGAATAATTTCAGACTTAAAAGTGGTATACTGTTTAAAAACTTCATTTCCCTATTTAAGAATAATAATACTGTCTTAAACTAAGGTGTACATCCAACACATGAAGACAGTCCAGCCAGAGCGACCTCGGAAACTGTTCCTAACGCTGAAAGACAAGGAGTCTCGCAGGTTCACCAAATGCTTCCACGGCTGGGGGGAGCACAAACGACCTCCTGAGTAAATTATTTCCTATATTTCTTGTAAATTATGTCAAAATTTATACGTCAAATGTCCATGTATATTTATAATACATTAATAGAAACTTTATATCTGTTATTTACAAATAAATTCATATTTAAATTCGATTTTTGAATAATTGTAATACTGTAACAATACTTATTTGTATATTATTTACTAAATCAAGTATAATTTGTAATGCTAATATATTTTCATTTGTAACCTTATACAATTGTTTAAGGTTTTAAACACTAAACAATTCTGCAAACAGCAAATCAGAAAAAAAGAGTTTGAAAGTATGGAAATTGTAATTTTATTATGATTTGTTATTATTATAGCCTAAATGATTATGGACACATTTCCTAGAATTTCTAAATTATATATAACCCACCTTAATTACTGTTTTAAACTTATGTGAATGTAACACAAAGTATTATTAAAAAAAAAGTATTTTCATTGATTTCATCACTAGTCAAATGTAAATTGTATTAAATCTTACATTCATATACTGATAAAAATCATACTTCTTTATAATTGTGAAGGCAAAATTTGTTTGTCAATATACTTTTCATGCATTTTGGCTATTATATGGCATCAAATTAAATTCTATGTAACAAACTCATACAACGTGAATTTTGACAGTCAATAATATATTCAAAAATGTTAAAGAAACTAAAAATGCCACAGTACCTAAACATATTGCCATTAATAAATGTAATAGTTTTATAATTGTTTTATAGAACATTAATTGCTTTAAAGCTTGTTGAAAATTATTCAAATAAAAGACTGATTATTGCAATCAATAACTTTATTTGCCATTTACAACTTAGAAAAATAAATTGAGAGGAGATTACTGTCATACCTTATTGCTAAAGAGTAACATTGACTAGGGCAGAAACTGCTTAAGTTACTCTGTCTTGCATTGTGCATTTATATGCGCCGTTTATCACTTCAGTCAACTGTAAATAGTATGCTGTATGTTTGTAATTGTCTGTACTTACATATGAAATACTGTAAATATATGAATTAAGATGTTCTAAAACAGGAATTGTTAATACATTATAAAGATCTTAACATAAGTTATAGAGAATTCATTGACATGAGCACAATTATGCAGCAATGTAGCTTTCATAAATTTTAAATAAAAAAAACTATCAAACATAATTGTATTTTTACTGCCTACCTCAAATCTACAACATAACAAAACTTAGATCTTTAAGTTATAAATTACTATTCATTTCGATAATGAGTTAATTTTAATAATTTAATCGTCATCATCATCGTCGTCTGAAGGTACAAACAACTCATTCTCCTCCAAGAAGTTAGCAATGTTCTTACTTATCGCAGCTCCGATTAGAAGGCCAGGAACCACAGCACACACTATGCTGAGAAGACCGAAAGGTGTTTTCTCGGGTTCTGGAAGAATAGCCCCACTCGGAGTCGTTGTTGCTGATCTTCGTTGCACGATTTGTTCATGTCTAGATATATTTTTAGATTGGGTAACAAGTCGAGTAAGCCGAGTCAATGCCATTTTATACAAAAATCTGAGAAGAAAGCTTAAAAACTATATTTAGCTTTTGCAAATCGATTGTTTTCAGCAAGAAATGTCACAGTTAAATTCTGAACAATGACAGCTGATTGCGCAGAGTATATAATGGTACAGTCTTAAATTCGCATTGGAATCCAATTTTAGCTACTATAGTCTATAAACTTCCTCTATGATTTTGTATCTGCACATAATTTTTTATTGCTGACATTTGTCAATTTGTTCTAATTTGTCAAAATTTTCAAATAAACAAGTAAATGTAGGATAAACGTGTAAAGATTAGTTTTTAGGAAAGTAATACAAAGGAAAGGATTTCAAAATGAATATAACTTTGATAAGTTTAGAGGCTTTAATTTGTAAGTAGATACAAATAAATTATAATATTTTTCATACTTTTAACACAGGTCATAACATTTTTATTTTTTGTCAGTGAAAGCAACCCACGAAAGCCTGCCCCATCCGGATGCAGCAGCACTGGAGGCATTTTGTACTATCATGAAAGCTTCAGTCGACGGTCCACAACTTGCTGCTCAAACTCTTGCAACACGAATTCAATCTCAAAACTCACGCGAAGCCCTACTAGCTCTGTCAATGCTCGATCGCTGTATGCGCCGTTGTGATACAACATTCCAAAATGAAATTGGTAAATTTCGATTTCTGAATGAAATGATTAAACTTGTATCACCTAAATATTTAGCTAACAGAACATCGCCCGAAGTAAAGACTAGGGTAAGTATCAAACAAAAACTATGAAAAAGGTAAAATTCTTTGTTTCATTATATTATTGGTTATTTTTTATAATTCAGGTTTTACAGTTATTACATACCTGGTCTACACAATACTCAAAAGAAACCAAGTTCAAAGTTGCATTTGATATGTTAAGAAATCAAGGTGTGGTGAAGGAAACACCACCTCCCTTGCCCCCAGAGGAAATTCCCTTCCCCGCACGGCCGAGAGCAAAAAATGCAATTTTTGAAGATGAAGAGAAGTCAAGATTATTACAAAAACTACTTCAGAGTAAAAGGCCAGAGGACTTACAACATGCTAATAAGCTTATTAAAACTATGGTGAGAGAGGTAAGTAACCAACATAGTTCAGCTTATACCATACAGGATAAACTAGACAATTTAATATTTTCAAACTGCTACTTGATTTTAACATACTTGGATGTTATTATCACCATAATGATTTTTATAAATTAACAGTGGGCACAATTAAGATAAATATAACTAAAGCAGGTGTCCCATAAATAATTATATTGTTGTGTATATAGAGAAAAAATAATAAACACTAGTGATTCAGGATCTAAGTTATAGACATATTACCTTAAATAATAATAATTTATTACTCTCTATCATCATCAAATCCTTCAGAGCAGAATTAAATAAGCATTTTTCCAAACTATTCAATGTCTATGTTAAATTTCAATGACACTTGTTAAGCCTCTTCAGAGATATTTTCTATAAAACATTCATGCATTCACCTAAACATTTGCAACTATAAAATAAGATAATTCTATTATTAAGATGTTAATTTCGTTTTATAAGGAGGAGCGACGTAACGAAGCGAATAGCTTACGTGCTCAGGAGGTAGGTGCGGCGCTGGACTGCGCGGGGTTGCTTCGGGACATGCTTGCACGTGCTGTGGATGCTTCCCATGATGAGAAGCAACTCATACACGAGTTATACGCGAGCTGTGAGCGACTACGGCCAGCGCTGCAACGCCTTGCGTCACTTGATACACAAGCTGATAACCTCGGTATGTTTATGTAAGAATTGATATATCAGGTAATAGATGTCTAATTAAATATGGCACATATTTATTTTTTTTCTATTTTCTTACTATTCTACCTGACTGTCCTAAATATACCTCCAGATTTAGTTGAATTAAAATGAAAGTAAGAAAATATTTGAACACTTTTCACTAGCTACTTTATTGTCTATGGAATTATATTTGGAACTGTATGGACACTAACATGTTTGTGGTTTCAGCTTTATTGTCCTGTTATAATCACTTTTCTATTGAATTACACTATGCAGTACATGACTGTTACCTTAGATTCGTAGCGGTATATTTAAGACGTAATAGCCTTAACATGAAAAGAAAGAAATAATTCTCAAAATCAATTTCAGATGATATACTTCATGCACATGATGTGCTGGTCGAGGTCTCGGAGAAGTATCAAGAATTTATTTCACAGAAAACACGTCAATCGAAAGACGCGAGTAATGAGAAAGAGTTGCCAGCTTCAAATAATGATACGCTGTTAGATTTCGCTGGGGCAGTAATTAATAAAAATGTTAGTGCTGCAAAAAATTCTGCAGTCAAGCCTAATGTAATAGATGAGTTGGGAGATATATTTTCTGATGGTAGTAGCTCAAATATTGCTGCACCATTGAAACCTATTAGTCTCATACAGAATGGTGAGTATGTTTGGATTTGGAGGAGTATAAGGGATTATGGCACAATTTACTAATATTATAAATGCGAAACTTTAAATGTTTTGTGAGTTTTGATCCTAAACTACTGAATAAATCTCGATAAAATTAGTCACAGATGTAAAAGAACACATAGGCTACTTGCTTTTTTTTTAATTCCAAGCAGACATAGTCGCGGGCGAAAGCTAATGTTATCTACATTGTGTTTATGCTTATTGAAATTTTGCAGAAGACATTGATCTCTTAGGTGATAAGACAAGTAATACTGAAGGCTGGAATGTATTGGACAGTCTCGGGGAGCAGTTGCTGAAGCAGTCCTTGCCTGAAAACGCCAAACGTATTGATAGTTTTAGTGGGTGAGTTTTTAATTTAAAATTTGTTATTTATTTGTCCTCTTTTTTTGTAATTTGTAATCTTTTTTTTTTACAATATTTCATATTAATTTCAGTAAGCAAGTAAAAAAAATACCTATGAATGCTTTGGAGGTATCTTCACCTAAACACGAAGCTCAACCAACAAATGATGGTGCATTATTTGATTTGGATTTCTTCATAAAGAAAGAAGATGAGAAAGTTGACTCTCCAGAAACATCAGAAGCTAAAGTCAATGACGACGCCATGGTTGATATCACACCCAATACAATAGACAACAGTTCCAATATTAAAGACAGCCCTTTGGATAATATCCTTGATTTAGGTTTACCTTTAGTCAATAATGACATAGAATCAACAGTCACTAAAACTGAAGTTACACCTGAACCAAAGGAAATAACTAAAAGTAATAAATACAGTGAGGTGAAACCCTTAAATGATATTAATGTGACATTACAAAGTATAAGGCCAAGCAAAGTGCCTCCGCTAACTGTGTTTGAAGAAGAAGGAGGCCTAACGGTGGTACTACACTTCTGTAGGGACAAGCCACGTCCAGATGTTAACGTTATAGTCATTTCTACAACAAGTAAGAACCCATCGCCTATAGAGGAGTATAAGTTCCAAGCAGTTCTGCCAAAGGTGAGTTCAATACATTTGTACTTAATTTTAGTAAATTAGCCAATTTGAACTAAGTCAATGTAAAGCTGTGATTTTTGTTTCTTAACCACTAAAAATAACAGATTTGTATAGTTTTGTGTACTAAGGGGCTTTGACAATGTCTTTGATAATAAAATAAAAAATAATGAACGTATAAATGACACAACTTTGATATCATGACTTTTTACAAGAAAAATATTTTTTAAATTCAAATTTTGGAAATAAACTCTATGATCAAAACAATTTGATATTTGAAGAAGTAAAACGTTAACTAGTCTACAATAATGGATGTATTGTGTGAAAGGTGACAATGTAGATAATTCTGGAAGACTAAAACTGGTTGCGCCAACATTACAATAGGATAAAGATGGGATGATAGATAATGGTTATTTATGATACTAGCTGTTGCTCGCGACTTCGTTCACGTAAAATTAAGCAAAATAGCGATATATTCGGCCCAGTAGTTTGTGAGTTACTAGCTTTCACCCGCGACTCCCCTCCGCGTGGAATTAGGAAATACAAAAGTAAATAACCTACGTGACCGGACTATTCTCTACATCCATGCCTTTCATCGAGATCCGTTCAGCCGTTTCGGTTACAAACTCTAACAAACATTAATTCATGTAAACTTTCGTATTTATAATATTACTAAGATTTCAATACTTAAAAAAAAAATTTCTTCTTTATTATATTACTAATATTAATATAGATTGGTATGTGTTGTCAGGGTTGCAAGGCACGCCTACTGCCAGCGTCTGGCAGCAGCCTGCCGGCATACAACCCGTTCCTGCCGCCGCCCGCGCTCACGCAGCTGCTGGTGGTGGGGCGGCCCGCGCTGCGCTCGCGCACGCACCTCAAGTTCGTCCTCACCTACACCTGCGACGATGAGACGTACTCCGAAATCGGTGAGGCAGATAACTTACCGCTAGATGATATTTAACTTGTATAAAATATCGAAACTCATGTTTTAGTGCATTTTTTTTTATAATCTGACCTTGATAGTAATGATTTGTTCCTCAAAATGGCTTATTCTTGACAAGTATCTATTATGACATATTTTATGTAGTGATTTTTTTAAGAATTTTGATATACATTCAACGCAATGTTTTGTAACAGTTTTGAATAAGTTATAGCTGATTACTTAAAATTATGTAACTGAATTCTAATAAACCAAAATTGTTTGTGCTGTAAAAATCTAAAATATATTAACCTTGTTTTTAATTAAATTCAAGGGGTAGACAGTATGTTTTTAAATATAATCAGATTTACAAATAAACAATATGAAGATAAACTTAGGAATAAACTAAGTATAAGCAAAATTCGTACTAATACAGTAGAATCTCGGTAACTTAAAAACCTGTATAACTTTAAATATTTCGTGTTTCCCTTGGACTTTAACTTATCAAGGTTCTACTGTGTTTTACAAAAGTTTGAACTAATATTTACCTATAATCAGTTTATTCCTAAGTTTAACTTCATACCGCATTTATTTGTAAGCCTCAATATGTTTAGACAGTGTTAAAGTATGATTTGAGTATTTTTTTATTGTAGAATGTCAGATAAATATAATATAGTACTTATATCGTGCAATGTAATTTATTTAGCCTCATATGTACTTAAAATAAAAATAATATAGTGGAATTTTTTTAATTTTTTTCATATATGTTTTTTTTTCGACTAATACAAAAAGGATACCTTTTTATTTTATACAAGATAATATAAGTCGTATTAAACTGATCAATTATGTTCTAGTCTAAATTATTATTTAAAAAAAAGTAACATCCCAAATATACTTATTAACATTAAGAAATATTTAACTGTTAAGTAATTATGTATGTTATAACATATGAGAATTTATTATATCTGAAAGCTTAAAAAACTTATTGTTTGTTTGAAAAATTCCTACATGTATAATTTTGATGTTGATCAAGAATTTACATTAAATCTGGTCAATGTTTAGAAATGTACAGAGGACAAACGATTTCTTTTCCATTAATAGTGAAAATGTGCATTTAAAAAAAACATGAAACTCGTACATTGTTTTTAATAATTTCAGATTATGTATTTTAGTTTTTAAAATCTAACGAAACAAATATAATACTGTGATAAGTTTGTCAAAGCATCACAACCTTTTATTAAACAAAATAAAATATTTGCAAATGTATACATTCCATTTACTTTTCACTATTTTGCCTAAATATACTAAGAAATGTTGTGATGTCAAATTTCATATACAGTGTTACCAAATAATTATCTTTACAATAATTTTTAACATGTCAAGATTTGCGTGAAGACAGTTCGAGAATAATCTAGAGAAAATAAACAGCAAGAAAATTTATAATTTATAAGTCCATTGCCATCTTAGATGTTTGTAGTTTACATGAATATAAAAAAAAAATACTCTATTATCTCAATAGCCTAAGGTCATAAAAAAAATATCTTGCTGATGAATTTGTATCGATTTATTTGGTGATACTGTAATCTATTTAACTGTTACGTAAAACTGGATCTGTTTATTTAAGCTTTTAATATATAAGCTTTCCTCGCTTTGATAAAATAAAACAACTGTAGTGTATATTTGTGTTTTATTTCATAGAAGAAAATCAAACTTACATATAACATTTACTTAGTAAATGAGAACCATGGAGGTAATAATACAACAGTGTACCTCTTGCAGTTAAAATAAAACCTTATACTAAGGGCGTAAGAGTCTTGTTGCACGCAAAATAAAATAGAAAAGACGGCTACATTTGTCCGATATTTCCCTTTCTAACAGTGACTTAGAGTTGCCAGATATCAAACCTGTCGTTGTTAATAGAAAAATAGGCAATTGATGAAATTAATGCAGTAAAAATAATTACTTTCAAAATGTTTTTAAATATTAATAATCATTTATTACCGACACAACAAAGCAATATTATTTGTTGCTACATGTAAAACTTTACTAACGCAAAGCGATTGGCATACAGGTTTTCTTTTATTTGTTTGAAATTCGAACACCTGAACTGACAACACCGCATGACATCGCCGAATCGGACTTCAATGGCGGCGTTTTTGAAATCCGTATTATTTTTTGAATTGCCTTGTTAAAATGGTAAGAACTTGTGTTGTGGAAGCTTGCAGAAGCGAGTACTATCCTTATTGTGGTTTATCCTTTCATAGGTAATAGTTTTAAACATAATTTGTTAGGGAAGAATTACGTAAATCCTAGTTCCACACAGAAGCCACAGTTGAGTACGTAAGGATGCTTAATAGATTATTTGGTCTAACGAATTCCAAACATCCTTTTGGAAGTTTATCATTAGCACTTTCGATTAAAAACCATCTAAAGCCATGCTCTGCTGACGTCAGATCACGAATATTTTTTTTATAATTATTGTCCTAAAATTATATTTCAATATGGTCACTATAGCCAGAGAGGGGAAAATAGTACCGTTATTGAGGTCTCGCATTTCTTCAATTTTTCGACAAGAGGTCTATCCGGTTCTAGTAATACATCCATGATGAGAACACAATACCACAGTGGTATATACAACCTGACATAAGTATTTACACTGCCAGTAAATTATATTAAAGATAACCGCGGTACTCCACTGCTTTTACATTTTATTAATATTTCCATCTTCATTATGTGTCACTGCAGTGGAATCCTACATTAAAGTAAAGATATTAAAGTTACATTTTAAATTTACAAGCATGATATAATACGCTATGTTTTTTTAGTAATTATTTCTACACCGCTTGATCTCTAAATGCTAAAGCCGTGATAGGTTTCTGATGTCCGCAGTACTCCCTCTCCAATGTGCCTTTCTCAAGGTCCCACAGCCTCGCGTAGCTGTCTGAGGAACCTGCAATTAATTAACAGACTAAGTATGATGCACTCATAAAGTACCATGAATGTGGATAACTGCAAACGTAGGGAAAGACAAGAAAAAGTATGTATGGATTGTGAAAAAGGTATGCCAAAGGAGTGAATTCAGATATAGTGATGACGTCAGCAGATAGTGATGTATTAAAGAGCAGTACATACTGTGAAGACCTGTCCTAGTTGTCCCTAAATTATTGGACAGATTGATGATGATGACTTAGTTTTTGAAATTCGCATATTTACCAATACCTTTAAGACCGCTCATAGATTCATATAACATTAAGACAGCCATTAGTATACATTTTTGGTATTAAGATAAAATTTTTAATTATAACAATATTTTATTGTCTAGTTCGTAGATAGAGTTTAGGATATGTTGGTTAATAAAAAGTATGGTACAGGATGTGAGGCAGCTGGTGAGTACAGGTTGCTATGTTACCAGTGAAGAGATAGTGGGAGTCGATGCTGAAGGCGGCGTCCCACACCCAGCGCTGCGCGTCGTGGCGCAGCTCGCGCAGCAGCGACCAGTCGCTGGTGCGCCACACGCGCGCCGAGCAGTCGCCCGACGTCGTCACCAGCATGCTGACAATGTATTATATTATATTACCTTTAATCATTCAACTAGCGACGAGACGATGGGGACATAAACCTGACATAAAATGGGAACATAAATGACATGGGGACATAAAGTGTTAAGAATGAATGTTGATGACTATAAAGGATAAGGAAGACCGAAGAAAGTATGGATGCATTGTGTGAAAGAGGATATGCTTAAGAAAGGAGTGGTTTCAGATATGACGGCTGATAGAGAAGTATGGAAGAGCAGAACATACTGTGCCGACTCTGCATAAGGGAGAAGGGCAAGTTGATGAAGATAATCATTCCAACTAAATTTTATTAATAGTAGTTCTTCATGTGTACCAAATTTAATCGATTCCGTTTGGAGTTACGAATATCCATCTAAACTTTAACGTTTTTAACTTTTAAAACACTCAAAACTTTCAACTGTTACCCGCAGTGAGCCAGCGAGCTATAGTCTAGTCACAGCTAGGCTAGGCTCAGGGATGTTGTTTAGCAGAATGAGTTTAATGAATTACAATAAGAATGTGGGTACTGACGTGGAGTCGGGGCTGAACCTGCAGCGCAGCGCGTACTTGGCGTGCGCGCGCAGGTGCTTGCGGGGCGCGGGGCGCGGCGGGCTGCCGGCCAGCGACCACACGTAGCAGCTGCCCTTGTTGTTCACCGCCGCCATCAGCTTGCCTGACGGGTCTATCGCTATGTCCTGGATAGACGCCTCCGCTTCCGGGATCTAACAATCGTTATACAAAACTAACACATTTGTTACTCTTTTACTATGTATAAAGACTGAAAAATCATTAGTTTGTTTGATGATTACATAAATATTACATGCTCTATTACAAGTTTCTTCCAAATAATTCTTCACAATAATGTTTTTTTTTTTAATTTTCTTCATTTCATTTTGAAATGGAATGATTGCATGAAAGGTGACATGATCAAGAAGGGAGTGGTGACTGACATAATGGATGATAGAGTAATTTGGAGGACAAAAACTTGGTATGCCAGACCCTATGGAAGTAGGATAAGGTTTTTTTTTTTTTTGTCGCGGGGAATGCATTTACACACTTCACCGTCCATGCTGCGGAGGCACCAGGGACAGTTTCGTGTGGAACTCCCGGCCTTAATCCCAGCCGGACTACCCACTAAACCCCGCGGTGTTCTCCTTCGCCCAACCGGGCCGTGGCATCTACTTTAGTTAATCCACAACCCGGTTAGAGGGAGCCCCTTGGTAGGGGCTCGACAATTTTTTCACTTTTTTCACTTCATTTAATAACATTTTACATTTCTATATGTACTTTTTATATAAACTTAGTATGTTACCAATTGTTCATTGTGATCAGTCTTGAGGTCCCATATGTGTATGATGCCACTCTGTCCTCCCACCATGATCTGTGACTGGTCGGGGTGCAGCACCACCGCATTCACTGGTGCCGGCACTTCAAAGATACGCTGGCATTGGAACGGCCTCCCCGCCCTTCACTCCCAACATTAACTTTAATATATAGTTTCTGATACTCTCTGATCTTTAACATAATATTATGTACCTGTTAACTACTTTATCAGTATTGTGTACACTGTTTTCTATTTTTCCTAGTAATTATATGATTATATTAGTTGTGTATATTGTAATAAATAAATAAATGTTTGCAATCTAGTTTTATTGAATTACAGCAAAACTACTTTTGTCCATAACACAGAGTTCTTTTACACATAATTTAATGAAAAAAATTTAATGACAAAACATTACTAACTAGCCTTTACCCACAACTCTAACATTCATCAATCCATTCATCTCAACTATTGTATTCATAATATCAATGAGATAAGGAGTAAGATATTGATTAAAATAAAAAAAGAATTATCAAAATCGGTCAACTAGCGGCGGAGTTATGCCGTAACACACATAAAAAAAAAATAAAAAAAAACATACAGACGAATTGAGTACCTCCTTCTTTTGGGAAGTTGGTCAAAAAAAGAATAACAACTATTAGGATCATTAGGTATTCTATGCTAATTTTATTTATACTATTATGTAATAAATATAACATTATTAGAAGTACCTTAGATCCCAAATTCTTGCTGTGCAATCTTCACCTCCTGTGTACATCCATTGTCCATTCTCCTGAAGTTTTAAAAATTAAATAAGGTTTTATTCATTTCTTGATGGTCACTATTACAATTGTTACATTAAAATTGTAACAGTTTATTTAGTGAATTAAAAAAAAAATATTACTCACTTGGAATCCTACTCTAGAGACATTTTTAGTGATAGCTTCAAAGTTCATAACAGGGTCTGGATTAGCGCTGGCCAAATCATACATCCTAATATGCTGATATCCGCAAGCGGCAACCATTTGTCCATTTGGTGTTATTTCCAAATCATTTACTTGCTTTAAATAAATAAAACCATGTTTCTTATTGTACTTGGTAAAAGCTTTATCTTTTACCAACATTTACATACAATATTTTTAACTAGTTGTTGCTCGCGACTTCGCCCGCGTGAAATTTAAAAATTAATAAAAATCACAGCCTATGTTACTCACAGATAATGAACCTTTCTAAAGGTGAAAAAATATTTAAAACCGGCCCAGTAGTTTTTGAGTTATTTCAATACATACAAAAATACAAATCTTTCCTCTTTATAATATTAGTATAAATGTAAAAAGAATGATGACGGGTTTCGCGCTATTCCCTCAAAATATCTTTTCTTAATTTATCGTGGAACCATTGCTAAAGCATAAATCGATAAGAGAGAATACAGAAGTAATTACAGAATCAGGATGTTGCATGGTACGTAAACAGACTCCGCTGTGTGCCTGCCAAAGTTTAATTGTGTGATCATAGCCTCCGGTGACTAGTGCCACTTGTGTTCCACCGCCGACCCCGCCAGAGCCATCCCCAGACATTTTATCTAAATTAAGAAAGTAACAAAAATTATTTAATATCAAAATGCACATGAAATGAGAATTACTTTATACCAACTAGATAGTAATTGAACCATCCAGAATGTAGCAGTCAAATGTTAATAAAGCTAATTTGCATTTAGCTTAATATTTTTATTTAAAAATATTTTTGTTTACAATATAGTGTGACAATATTATTTGATTGACATTTGACATGTGTTTGACCAAAGATTATTTTGTAAGGCAGCACAAGCTCTCAGTCAAAGAGTACATGCCCATTTTATTATTTTGTATGTGCAAATGTTAATTCAAAAAATATCACAAATTAAAATTACAACTCACACACTTAAATTATTAAACACATCTCACCAAAAACCCCATGTGTAGCAGATATTTCAGTTTTCCATTTAGCATTTATCTTAGAGAAATTCCTAAGAATGTCTGTTCACTAATATTACATTAGATAACGAGTAAGAATTAATTCTGTATTTATTACCAAATTATAACAATGCGTATAGTCAAAACCAACTAAGTATAAATTATTTTTCGTTTATAAATCAAATTCGTCGATTAAGGTCGTGTCCGCCGGAAATTAGAACTTATTGATTTTTAAAATATAATTGACTCATTCTTGTTTACAAGCTGGCAGCACTGATAGCGACGCTATGTTGACAATTCACTTAGTGCGTCATCAAAAACATGATGCCATTTTTTTATTAGCGACGTTTTGATGTAACCTCATTATAACCATGAGACGAGTTTTTTTAGAAAGTTTGAAGATTTAAAAAGGGACGAATACTATTGAGATGAATTTGTGCTTTTTGTTTAAGGAATAACAACACTTTTTATATGAAATTACTTTATTGAACATGTAAAATCCGTATTGACATGAGGAATGCTAATTCTCATTTATATAACACAAATGTAAAATTTAAGAGACTAATCACATTGAAAACCTACCTATAACTAACTTAAAATACAACATACATCAATTTCCTAAATTATTTAAATTGTTGAATGAGATACGAGAATGTATTCTCGCGGTGTCTTAAATTAAGGTTTGGTACCATTGAAATTTACGACAAGAGGTAGGTTCAATTAACAATAAGCCATTCACATCATGAAATCGTCTCTAATTTTACATAAGGATAAAAAGATCAATCAAAACTCTTATGTCGTAAACGAAAATGACCTACGGAAGATTACAGTTATGGCAAACAATTTAAAAAGCACAGCTTTTAACACAAGACAGAATGATGCCGACATAAAAGTTTTGATAAAACCAGACAAGGTACTTAAAATGAGCATCCAGGTGTCAGCGAACTTAACGAGGGAGGCTAACTGTACAATTCCCCGATGTATACATGCTTAACACTTAAACATTATTTTTTTTGAGGCTTAGCAATCTAGACCTTAGCCTGCGGTGGAACTTTCCAACTCTGCACACAAAATGTAATCACTATATTATTATATAACAAAAAAATTACATTACAAAATAATCAGAAATTTAAAAAAATTGACCAAATAAATCATAACTTTTGCGTTCAGAAAAATTAGAAAATAATTAAGAAATATACTTATATAAAATGGTAATTCATACAGATATTGGAAAGTCAGTCCTTTTTTGTTTAATTTGTAATAAATTAAGTTTAAGAAAATTATTCAATATGAACAGAAATGCCATTTGAGTTGGGAGATCAATCGCTTTCCTCTTCTTCTTCCTCACCCTCCTCTTCTTCAGACTCTTCCTTCTTCTTCTTAGATTTCTGAAAATATCAAATATATTAGAATAATGCACAAACAAATCCATTGAATGAATGAATATAAGACCACAACTCACAGCAGGTGCGGCAGCTTTCTTGCCCTTCTTTCCTCTCTTCTGTGCCTTTTTACCGCCACCTTCACCACCACCTCCATTGGCATTGTATGATTCCAGATCTTTCGTGTATTGCTCTTTTGCTTTGGCAGCCTTTGCCTCCCAAACCTGATAATATAAAAATAGTTTATTAGTAAAAATCAAACAAAGAAATTATAACCTAAGCACATAAAGAGTGTACTTACACTTTTATCTTCCATTGACCTCCATATTTCTCCTCCCTTTTTGGCTATTTCAGTGACTTTGAGTCCCGGATTATCTGCTTTTATCTGTTCTCTTGCACTATTTAGCCATAACATGTATGCAGACATTGGACGCTTAGGCTTGTCCGTCATTTTAACTTTTTTCCTGCAAATAAATAAAGATTTTAATAAAAGATACAAATAAAAACGTTCGCCGAAGCTAATACTACTCCAACGTCGCAATCAAAGAGTGCTAACGTGCTAGTGCACTACCTATACGGCAGAGTAAGGACGCGTTTTGGCGGGAAACATATTTACGGCATTTCTAGACAATTTCGCATTTCAAAAGATCCATATTCATAAAACGTGGTATGAAAACATTAAAAGCTGTATATTTACAGTTATTATTGATGAGATATTCAACGAAAATAATTATCGCTCCATATATCGAGTTCACTGGCCTATGCTTGGGTCGAAAGAGCCATTTTGTTTTCACGTACTGTGTTGAAAATACGCAATTACTGTAGATGACATAATTACCAAATAATCACTAAAGTAATAACCTATAACTTGTAGAAGAACGGTTTAATACCTTTGATGGAAAAGAACCGAGAAATTAATTATTTAAAATAGGGCGTCTTGTTCCATACCCACGCGTACTAAGCGAAGTACGGCGATGCCTATAGCCATGTTTGACCGAGAATTCCAACGTGGATTGAAATATTTTTAATCGAATCACGCTATAATAAACACATTTAAGAACAATTAAACACATAGAAATTGTTAAAAAATTATAAGAACTTACCTGATGGCAAAAATTTTGAAATAATTTTTGAACTGGTACACAACCAAACTGCAGACGTAGAGAACCAGAAGAAAATGTATGGAGCTCGAAGCAATGTTCCCAGTGCTAGCTAGCTTGGGTCGTCTCGCGTCGGCACATGAGCGCCATCTACGTTGAACGTGATTGGCTAACGCGTTCATTGCCGCCAACTGTAAAAAGCCAATAAAATGCCTGTTTGACGAATATCCGTGACGTCTGGCGTATTTAAATCGTTTAACATACAACTCTGTACCAACGGGATAAAGTCTGTATTCGAGTATAGATTTTAGCTCCTTACATTTTCTGCTAAAAATTATTTTCGCCAATTTTACTCAAAATAACTATTGTATTTCACTTTAATCAAGGCATAGAAGTAATTGGCATTAAAAACAATATTTTTTATATACATTTCGATAATTTTGATATAAGAAGTATCTCAAAAAAGCGCTTAGTCCTCTTCAGGTTTCCCTTGGCAGATTTCGACCAAATTCACTCGCGCCTTATTTCAAATGCCGCCAACGTTTATTTCGAAATTATAAAAAGCGCGGCAAACGTCTGCGGGAAAGGGACACCAATAAAACAACGTTTGAAAGGCTGAGTCGCGTTTGTTTACGATTTGATATTTGAAGCAGTCTTGAGAAATAGTTTTTATTCCTTTTCCTATAAGGGTGAGTTACTTTTAGTACTTAAAGCCATAGCAATAAAATACATTCTTGATTTATAACAAACCGAGCAATGATTTTGTATGCACACTTTCGACACATACACGCGGTATTGAATAGTAGTCTTGAATTTCATACCGGTATCTGTCATTAAAATAACTAAAGAAGTAAATGAATACGATTATAGTTGGTACTATACGAAGTACAATTCCTAAAACGTTTTATAATCATTATTTTTCAAAGTAACTTGCATTTGTTGTTCCAGATTTTACGATAATTGATATTTATGATCAGATGATATTTATAACTGCGAGTAAGGTGTGCCAAATCCGCGTTAACTGGAGGCCCATCATCTCTACCAACCCCTCATGATTTTTCTCCTTAAGACTTCATATCTTCGTTTATTAAGAATTTTAGGAGTATTTCAAGAATAGATCAAGTCTTATAAGAAAATATAACACACATTTCATCTTTTCGAGTTTTTTTTTTAAATTTAACAATGTTTAAGCTCTTAGAGCGTTGGTACAGGGCCAAAATCTTTGAAGGATATTTTAATTTCTGTGAAGTGGGTGGTATCAGGGGCTTAGAGTTTCCTACTTGGCTCTTCTTCGTGCATAATAATTCCGAATCACATCGCCACTTAACATCAGATGTTCATCTATTATCGAGTCTAAAGTATTTTAGGTGGTTACGCGTATAAGGTGTATCATATATGCGTTTTGTTACACCTAAGTGAACAATTTATTTCATTTTATATTTTCATGCCACTTAGATCATCAAGGTGACAGAAGTGATATAGTCATTTTTTTAAATAAGTAACATAAAGTTCTCAATTAGGTTTTTAAGTGGAATAATAATAATTCTATTTTGATTTTAAACATACATTCAGGACTCAGGACTTAAATCTTAAGAATGATTTCTTAAAACCTACATTGAAGATTATTGAAACCTCTTTTCATAGCAGTTAAAATTGATCTTAGTACCTCTAGCGCTAAGACAAAGAAAAAGGGCGTTAAAATGTCAATGTTAATCAATTATTACGGTGAGAATTTACTATAAGGTTACGGTAAACGGTTAAAAATTGGCGTTTAGATGAGTCTTAAAAGTTATGTTATAAAAACGCTATTGTGTTGTTTCAAGAAGCGTAATAAGGAAAGAGCCTGTCTAGCAAAAACGTTTTGGGGAACGGGACAGAATAATAATTTTCGCGCCATACGCGCCGTTAACTGTTACACTGCAGGTAAACGACGCACCCTCCTGTATACGTTTACTTATAAAGAAAACTAAGGGTGCGTACGAAGTGAACTGCACCGCGGCACTATACAATGAGAGAATTTAAAACTGTATAATCGGTTCGATTTTTATTACACAAGGAATATTTATGGTGGTACAAATATTATTTTTATGCTGTCATTACAGAAGTATATTTATTAAGTGAATCTTAATCGTCAACTCTGTGGCAAGAAATCGGTATAAAATAAAATACAAGTTAAACAATACAAAATTTATTGAGTACAATTATTGAGGAATTATTGCAATAACGACAAAACATTTTCAAGCTCTTACAATTTACTGGCACAAAACACCACTGGTATAATAAACATAACAAATCGGTATTTTTTTTAATTGCAATACTTTACAAATTATTGTTTTAAAATATTCATAATCTTAAAAATATCTTACCATATTTATATGTACAATTAAAAAATTACCTTAATAAAAAAGGAATGAAGGGTTTTGTGTGTATGTGGGTTTTAAATATTTTTAAAGTGAACAATCAGCTAGTATTTTAACTAGAAGTAAATTAGATCCCATAGGCATAGATCTGAAAATAGATGTTTCAAAGAATTTGAACAAAAATAAAACTACTTAAAAAACATTATTAAGGCTCAGCCTACACTGGATAATGAAATCGGGTCCTTGTATCCAACATAGATATAGGACTTGTATTGTAGTCGTATTTTTAATATCTAATTTAAACTATCTATTTATTATTACGTAAAATCTAATATTACGTCTAATCGCTTCCGCTTCCACTCTCGTTGCCGGAGCCCGAAGATGCTTCCGCTTCTGAAGATGAGCTCTTATCTTTCTTGTCCTTCTTCGAATCCTTGGACTGCGAAAATATATATTAAATTATAAAAAGTTATAAATAAAAGGCAGCCATTAAATGAAAATGGAAAATCTATGGTCAGTTCTATAAATGTATACATAACTACAAAGCTTTGATAACTTGTACAGATCTATGGTTTTCAAAAATATAGTATTTTATTATCTGTGTCATTAGCAACAAAAACATATTATAAATGCAGCTAACTGTACTGTATTTACATTGTATATTTTTTAAGATAGTGTAGAAACTCCAAAACATATTGTGCAAGTTTACATAGTTTTGGACTAAACATTTTTTGTCTCCCAAAGTTACTGTGTTAATAAATTAAAGATGCATTCAAAAGTTCTTACATCTTTGCTGTCTTTTTTCTTCTCTTTATCGGAGTCAGAGGAGCTGTCATCATCCTCGATGTACTCTTTACTGGTGAACTTGCCGCTGGGGGGCGCTGCGGGCGCGGGCTTCGACTTCTTAGTAGGCGGAGGCGCTTTACTCTTCTTATCTGCTGCCTTACGCTCCTTCTCCGCAGCCTTCTTCTTCTGCTTGAACTCGTCTGCTGCACCGCTGTCTTTGTACTTCTTCATCGCTGTGTTGTATTCTTCTTTCGCTTTGCTAGCTTTTTCCTCCCATTCCTTAACATTAGATAGATAATAATTTAAGAATGGTCCAAGCAAAATGTATGTGAATTCAGTTTCTTGCTTTTTGCCTACAATATTTAAAATGAAATAACATTCCAAAAATATTATTTTCTTTTAAATAAGTGATTGCCTTGCAGCATTTAGAGTTAACAATAAAATCTAAATGATTAATCTATAACAAAAATAAATAACTTAGTAGTTTACGCTGTCAAAACATAACAAATGTCGTTTATATAATTTAAAAAAAAATATACGTTTTTGACCATTTGCATACAGGACAGTTAAAATTAATTATTATTGTGTATTGTGTGTGTAGGTGATTAACAAATAAATACAAACCGATTTATCTTTAAGGTCCCGCCAGAGCTCGCCACCCTTCTTCGCGATCTCTGTGACCTTGAGGCCGGGGTTGTCCTCTATGATCTTCTTCCTGTTCTCGTTGAGCCACAACATGAACGCGGTGACGGGCCGCTTGGGCGCGTTCGCGTCCTTCTCACGCTTCTTTGACTTCTCCTTCCTCTTGCGAGGTGCTTCCGACTAAAACATAGTTTTTTCATTTGAGGACTTTTTGGGGGTCTTTCAAATTTATAGTGAATATTTTTATTTTCTAATTTTTATTTAAAAAAAAATGACGCTTCGCCATGTACGGGGAAATGGTTATTTAGGTCAGATCTTCTTGAGCACTAATTAAATAATAAAATAAACTTACAATCGTGATTGTTTTCTTGGGTTTCTTCTCTTTTTTCTTTTCTTTTTTACTTTCATTAGATGCGCCTGAAGCGTCGGAGTCCTCAGACGACGACGGATTTGTATCGTATCTTTAGACAGAAACAAATCAAGATTAAGGAAGTGGTAACTTCGATATCATAGTGAAATCTGGATGATGATTGCTGGTTCCCCTCCTTCTGCCATATAAAAGAGTATAACAGGCAGGCCCCTATGCTATTTCAGAGAAATTAGGGAATGGTCGTATTCTCTCATACTATAAAAGGTGTATAATAAACAAAAGCATTAAAGAAATATATAGACTAGGCATAGTGAACAATTTTTTTAACTGGTACTTTCTTTGAAAGGTACTACATCAGTTGCCAAGTTTAGTGCTTTCTCGTGTCCTTATATTAACATTTGTAAACATATTACAAAATCATAAGCTCCATCTTATAATATAAACTAAAGGGTGGCTAAAAATAAAGATTTAACTATTATTTAATGACACCTATTATCGTTTAATATAAACACAATTATGAATTGACATGTGATGATAGTGAGATTATGGGAAAAATGTTTCAAGTTAATTATCAACTGTGCCTACTCTATATTTTTTAATCTCTTTGATAATAATGTGTAACAGAGTATACTGACTCCTCTGCGACATCGCTCTGGTTAGCCTTGTCCGGGTTGAAGTCCTCGTCGGTGCTCTCGCTGTCGGAGTCCGCGGAGTCGCGCTCCTTGGCCTCCGCCTTCACGCGCTCGAGGTACGCGTCCGGCTCCTTCTCCGTATCAGAGTCGCCGAAGTCGTCGTCGTACAGCGCCTTGTCCTGCACAAACAGTACCAAGTAAGATGTGGGCCAGTGGGAGCAAGTGTGCGGGCGTGGTGATGGGCAAGGAAGGGGGGAATCTCAATGAATCTAAAAAGATATGAAAAACGGAAGCTATCATAGAAAAGAAAGAAAGAAATCAGTCTATTCAAAAAATGAAAAGGAATTCATTCGGCATGTGCTCGGTGTACACCGAAGCGCCGGTTTTCAATGATTCCTAAAAATAGAACACGCAGTTTTACAAAATAGTAGAAGAATGAAAATCTCACTTTTAGAACATACTAAGTACTTCACATTAATCTAGTATTTGTTTTTTTTTGTTATTATTTATTTTCTACTAATACTAGTTATTTAAGTTTCTAATTTTTATATGTTATAACAAAATATGGATTTCATGTCTGAATTTCAAGGATTTTGAATTTAATTGGATTAAAAAGCAAAATATAGGACGTAGTATTAACCACCACATAATGTGATGATGAACGATGGTTTATATTTTTACATACAAATTTCACATGTAAAATGTGTTTCTTAAAAACTTACATTCTTGCCAGTATTCTTGACATGCAGTTTCTTAGACGTGATGTAGTCAAATAGCTTGTCGTATTCTCCCTTCTCTATGCTGCTGAACGTATGAATGCTTCCCGATTTCAATTCTATTTCGAAGTCGAAAGATCTGGAATGTTCCAAATACTTTTAATTTCACAAAAACCAATACGTACATTACAACTTAAAATGTGCACTAAAACTTCAATATAATTAGAAGTTCTCTATATATTTGTCCTTTTTTCGCATGCCAGTTTTTTCCAATTAATTCACTAAAATATATGATTTTTATAAAAAGAATGATTCAAAAACGTGCTATGATCGCTGAAATACCACAGCTTTCTCCAGCGAGAAATTAAAAAAAACCAAAGTCTTCCAGACTATTCCTTATGTTTATGCCAAATTTCACTGAGATTCGTTCAGCTGTTTAGGCTACGATCCCTAACAAACACCTGTCCATCTGTCTAAACTTTCACATTTATAATTTCAGTAAGAAGTAGATATTGATGAAATCTTATTTACTCGAGCTAAGTTTCGTTTTGTTTAGTCTTGGGCTTAATCGGACATCTGCAAGTGCGCACCGTACTAGTACAATTGGGAAAACGTACTAGTACAGACTTTTAGTACCTTTAGTACTTCAGATTTGTAAGAACACAATAACATGATTCGTATATAACAAGGGTTATAGATTACTTCATATCAAATTTTAAGCATGGTCAAACATATGTTATTAGCGAAAATAAATTTAAGTTATAAATATTTTTATCCACTTTTATTACATGCTTCAATCTAGCTAATATACAATCAAATAAAACAACGAAGAAGCGAACAACAATATCGTGTAGTAAAAGTGTAGTAATACTGTACTAAAAGTGCCAAATGTCCGATTAACAGAAGCCGTTCAGTAACATTACTTTCAGTACAGTGCCGAGTAACATTACTTTTTAGTACATCGTACCTGTACTACCCAAGACTAGTTTTGTTAGTATAATGAAAAACTCACTTGGTAGATGACGCGCCGCCTCTAGCGAAGTTGACAGAGGCGATCTCTTCGAAGCGGATGTGCACGGGCGGCTTGTGTACGTAGATGAAACCTTTCTCTAATGGATACAAGTATCCCGCAGCCGCCTTGTACGAGCACGCGATAGCTGGAGTTTTGTGGTGACTGAAATATTACAGAAATATACATAAGGTAACTGTATATAGTTAGTTGGCACATAGTTAAAAGAGTAATTTGTTTTTAAGTGTTAAGTAAAATGTAAATAAATAAATTTTCTGAAGCTACCAGTCAAGATTTGAAAGTAATGTATTGGAATGCAATAAGATATTTAAGGGAAAAAAAATCCTAAGTTATAATGTAATCAACAAAATAGTCCACAATTTGAAGGAAATTTGAATAAATGAATGAATATGTATTTATTGCCACAAAATAGAAATTACATAAAAGGACTTATTCTAAAGAAAACACAATCGTGGCAAAAGGTAGCCAGCTCAGCGTATACAGAATGGACTAAGCCGTTCCTACGCTGATTTTCAGCTGGCTTGGTTTACTTAATTTAAATGTATTGCTAATTAATACAGCCTTTCTATTTAGTTAATTGCTTTTCTTAAGTTGTTTAGAATTGTTAATAATTTTAAATTAAACTGCTTACCCTAAAAAGTCTCCAGGTCCAGTGACTCTTCTGTTTATAATGACCTTCATAATTTTAGCAAGCACTTCATAAGTAGGACCCGACAGTTCTTTGCTTATTTTACCTTCGTATTTCTCAGTTAATTCTTGCCTGAAACAAACAGTTAAAAATATAAACTTAATATGGCAAAACTAAAATATGTTAAACATATAACACAAGTTTCAAGGAAGGAAATGTCAACAAAAGGTGAATTTTATAATTCCTTGTTAGATGAAGTAGGTATTTTTACATGGTTCCCCATTAAACCCTAACAAACATTCATACCAATATATTCAATGGTTCAAAACATTCGAATATTAATATTATTCCTTAGAAAAAATATGCAACTTACTCTGTAAATGGTAATTCCAAACTAGTCTCTTCCTCAATACCGAACAAGAGCACTAAGTAATGATATCTAGTTTGACCTTGTTTAATAGGTGGGTCTAATGACACCACAAAGAACATTTGCCTTGTATCCTTATGTGGTAGTAGAAACAGCCTCAGTACTGTCGACATTGGTATCTTGTAGTCAAAAGTTTTACCATGAAGTTGGAAGAATGTCTGGAACACTTTGATGTCATAACGACCACTGAAAAACACAAATTATAAGTTAAGTAATACTATCAAATAAATTCTTTAAAATCTACAACAGTAGTTAAGCTGACAACATGAGTGCTGCTGGTGATGGTAGGGGTAGTGGCACCCCTTAGAAAATCGAAAATATGTAGAATATATAAATTCTCTTGAAATATTGAGCTTCTCCTAGATATACCATAGATTATTAACTTTGTCTACCATTTTTTTTAAAGTTATCCATTTAACTGTAATTATGTTTTTAAATCTCATTATATATGAAATATTGATTTCTCTATGACTTACCGAGGAGTGAGACATTGAAGTTCCCGGAAGATAGCAATAGCATCTCCCGAGACGGATATGACACTGGCCTTGTTCATGACTTGCTGGTGGAAGGCCTCCACAGCATCCATGTCACCCGACAGCTCATTGGTTGGTATGTGGAAACGCATCTCCATCAGTGAAACAGGAGTATCATCATTCTAAAAATGTATAAAACAATTAGTAATCATAAAATCTTTTTTGATATTAGTTACATATTTGACATAGTTTATTGTATTGCCATACATACAAAATTTAATACAGCCTATACCAATTAATTTCTTATTTTGAGTCATTGAGATAAAAACAGTTACATCTATAAATGGATGCCAATAAATTATTTGTATGTATAGATTTTAACTATATAAATAACTAGCTGTTGCTCGCAATATCGTCAGCATAGAATTAAAAAAATAATAAGAGACATTTTTACTCAAAAATCACCTTTCTAATGATAAAAGAATTTTTGAAATCGGCTCAGTAGTTTTTGAGTTATTTCAATACATAAGAAATACAAATATTTCTTCTTTATAATATTAGAATAGACATAATAAAATATTTTTTTATACAGATATTTTCACAGTACAGTTAAGTGACAAATACAAACCTGATGGAATTCTAGTGTGACTTCATTTTTGCCAGTGTTGCACTGTGACACATAGTGCAGAGGTATCTCAAAAGCAGTGTTGGAACCAACATTGAAGCTCAGCACTGCTCCATTGAACTTAGCCGTGCCCCAGTTCCAACCTTTCAGTGATAACTCTTTCTCCAACATATCTTTGTTATAATTTGATTTAAAAAATTTTGCAACTTTCTCTTGCTCCTGAGAAAATTATTGTATTTAATTTATAAATTTTATCGGAAAATTAATGTGGTGACAAAAGTAAATAAGCGCAGTCAAAGAATCAGATATTTTCATAAAAGGTTAATATGAAAGCTAGTAGAGAGAACAGCATACATGTGAAAATGAACATTATTACAAATTACATACCCCATCCTTAAATCCACCATATCTATGCAAGGTACCATTCTTTAGAAACACTCTCAAGCCCCATGATCCAATAAATTTTTGAAAATTCACTAATTCTATATCATTTGCTGATATCTGCTCAACCTTGCCGGTTTTACTGTTTTTGAATATTATGTTTTGGTCAGTCATTTTTAGACGACCGGGAACCTGTAAAGGACGTAAGGAAAGTTTTTAATTTGATTTACTTTTATAAATAACAACGAAATGCTAAATTCGCAACATACCATAGCTCCCTTTATTTCCGCTGATACATCATTGTATTCAAGAAACTCCATTGTGTGATTTTCACCTATTCAACTATATATCGATAAGGTTATAAAATATATAATTGTGCAATATTCAAATATCTTTTGCTTCTCTTATTCCAATTTCCACGCACGTTTCTGGCGGTTCACAACAAAAAACTCGCATCTGAAGTTGTCAATGTCAATTCTATTTTCAATTGTCAAATGTTGTTTAAAGTCAATGTCATATAAATCATTATTTTAAATCAATGGTTTGTTCAGGTAAGGTTAACGAATAGGAAAAACCTGTAACAGTCGTAGGATAATCGCTATTACTTGGTGATGATGATGATCAGGCGATGCGGTTTCTTTACAAGGTAGCGTTGACTTTATTTAATTCTTTTTATTCTGTGGCTGATAGATCTTTCTTGTCAAAAATGTCAATGTCAAATTTAGTTTGCGAAATTATCTTTACTGTTGTGGACGTGTGGTTAAAAAAATATTTATTTATTCTTTGACTTGCGAAATTGTTTGTTTATTTGAAAGTATTCCAATATTTTAGGACCCCATTTATCATATTGTTGTTATGGTATGAAGTGTCGTGGATTTCAAGTTACAATCTACATCAGAACATAGTCCTTGAAATTATAATCCGTAGGAGTATTTTGCATGTGTAAAATCTATGGCGTCATTATCGCTTCCACGAGTTCTCCAGCTAAAGAAGAATAGCCTGGATGCTGAGCGAGAACACTTCGAAAAGTTTCAGGTAAAATTCAATTTTGGTTATATGTATTTTATGTATCGAAAACCAACACTTTCCCACTCTTGGTTTCTTATCACAGTCACTGCAAAAAAGTTCTATAAACTTAATCAAATATAACATTAACATCTTTATTCAGACTTGTATAATTTGTGCTATTTAGTGCATGTGGTCAAATGTGACATAAAGAACTTGATTCTGTTTTATTCATCTATTGTGATTAGTTGAAGACAAATACATACATAACACACATAAACAATATTGTTAGGAATCTATGAAGTTATATGTGACCTAACATTCCTTATCTTACTCAAATACCTTTTTATGTTTGTTTATAAAAGTGTTTTAGAAAAGGTTTGTTTATATAAAGGTGTATCTGATACATGTTCTATATTTATCTAATTAATTCAATGTGATAAATGGCAAGTGCAGAATTTGCAAGTAAACCTTTTTAAAGTTTGGCTATAAAATAACATTTCTGAGAAATTTTTGCATATAAAATTAATAATTGGTTTATTATGTCTATACAATAAGTAAGCTGAAGCTATAATATAATTAATCATAATATAAATTTATCAATGAGAAATTTCTCTATTATCTTTCTGTAACAGAAGTATATAGCGTAATTAATTAAGGTAACATGTTATTGTTTAAAATGAAAACATAATTTGGGCAATGCATGTGATAAAATTTGATCAGTCTCCTGCCTTTGTTATGTAAATAAGATATATTTACCACAGTGAAGATTAATACAGCAGATGTTATTGTACAGATCATGTCCAAATATGATCACAATGTTTCATGTAACAATTTAAGATTTACAGTGTTTAATTAATTCTCTTAAAGTTAGGGGAAATGCATCACTTGTCATCTAAAACTAAGATGGTTCAATTTTACAATATTGTGCTTTTCCTATCTTCTACAACAACTATCCAACTCTTCTAACATTCCAACTTGTGAATAGTCCAAGAATCAAATTATTGTAATTGTTTTATTTTGTATTTGCTTTGCTTTGTTGGCTTGACTAGATAATAGCTAGATAAATAAAATAAAATCAATCCTCCGAAACTTGGATCATTTCAACATTCCTTCCTAACTTTCTTCCAGCAATCTTTATTCCGAATTTCCAATCTTTGGATGAAATGGCTGAAAATTCAGTTTTAGTAAACTGGTGAAGCAGAGTGTGGCGTTAGTTTTCCGTAATTTGTTATCAGGTAGTGACAGATAAACCGATTGTTATGGAGAGTTGGAGTTTTCGATAAGCTATCGTATGCGCGGCCACTTGACAGTTTCGCCGCGATTCTAGATTTACACGCATTTCTGTGAATTTAATTTTCAATTATAAAAACGTTATCATTGTGAAATCTATACCGGATATTGCTTTAAAGGTATGTCGCTGAAAAGTTTTTTTTTGGGACTGGTTTAGATTTATAATTGTCGAATAGTAAATAAGGCGGCAGAATACTTTCTGAACGCAATATAACTGTGTTCTTAATGTCGTAATTTGATCATAGAGTTTTATTTTTCGCACTCGCGTTGTGATTCGTAATTAATGATTGCATTCATTTTGGAGGACTTTGGATGATGAGCTCGGTTTTCACGATATTGCAAAAGTTATTTTTACATCATAATAATTTACGGAATTACAAGTATTAAGTTTTCCTTGGCTTCAATGACGCATATACGGCCCATATAGATTATACGCGTATGTAATACCTACCTATACTACTAATACCTATTAATATTAATTACTTTTATATGTTCACAGTAAATTGATATTGACCAAATATTTCTTTTGTTGTTTTTTTTATCTTGTTTGTGAGCTTATCTTTCGGCTGTATACTTACTGCTGGCTTTATTGCAAACCATAGCAGAGTGCAGAGCGTACAGCCCTACTGGTGATTGTCGGCTTCCGGCGCGGTACCTCGCGCGGTTATCGTGCTCCACTTGCCTCGTTAACTCTGTATCGCCCGGATATTTTCATTTACACTACTATATGGGTATGAAACAAATAAAGTTTGGCAGAGGAAATAGAACAGGCATGTTCCAGTTATACTAACTTGCTGGTTGGCATTCAACAAGCGAGAACTTTATAGAAACTTCTTGCATCCTGTGTCTGCGAGTGTCTCCGCGTTTTGTCCCCAGCCGCCAGCAAACTAACTTGACGCAACGTCCTTTCTAGTTGTCAGCACTATATCTGCAGTTCCTCTTGGCAGATCATGCGATTCTGTGGTTTTGCGCCCAGTAACATTTTTAATAGGGTTTCAGTTTCTGTGGCAATTTTAGCTCTATTCTAAATTGTTTGCATCACTCCTAACATCACTTGCATTACAAGATAATATGCAATGTTCATATTTTAATATGTGCTAAATAACATTGAATTTTATCGGTCGAATATAAAAATTATTAGAAAGTTAACAACCGATAACGAAATATTTTGATCGGTCGAGATAAACGAGGTGTCTTTCAGATAGGAAGGTTAGTTTGTTTTAATAAAAATATCTTTTCTCACTCATAAAACTATTGATGGAAATTATCTTGTGTATAAATTCTAAATCCATTCCAAGAATCTCCGATCAAATTGTTAAAATTAAGCTCAATTCGTATCAAATTCGAATATTCATTAATGAAAAAAGATTGATACAAGTACAAGGCAGTTGAATGAAATTTGCTATTATTCACTTTGCGTTATAAACTACAATGCAATTACGCTTTGTGTGTGTAATAAAAACACTGCACCTAGCGTAAGACGTTTTGTAATCACGGTACCGTGTTAAAGAGGTTATTGACGTCATATGTAACTTGCAGCCTCGATGCTTAGCGAACGTCAACTAAATATTGTACGTTTACGTTTTTGCTACCGATTGCACTAACATCTGCATACACCATACTCCAAGACGGTGTTCAAAAAAGTTTTGTTGCAGTCAAGGCTGAAACTTAGTGTGTCTCACCGACATACGTCAATAAGAGTGAAAAAAAAGACAGTTGTACATATATTGTTGTCTTGTCTAATCTAGGATTTAGTATTAATAATAAACGATAATAAAAATAAAACCTTAATAATAAATGCATTACAGTTTACAGTTGCGTTGTTCACCTTCAAAGTTTGAACAGCTGCGTCCCTTTTGTATCTGCTTCTACAATCTTTAAACAAACCAAATTCGCTGTTCGCAGTTTTTGCAACATCATTGTGAGCATTGCAATCTTTGTTCAAAACCTATTACAGTTTTTAGTTACACGAGAGATCTTATTGTATTTTTTTGTTTGCTTACAAAAAGTCTTTTACAATTGTGGTTTCAGTTTCTCTTGTATTACAAAAATTGTAAAATCATTTTTCTTTTTACAATTAAAGCGGGCGCACACTTTTAATCAAACTGTCGCACAACTGTTGTGCGATTGTTTCGCAGCAAATTCAACTGTTTAGTTGCACAACAAAAATCGAGTAGTATGCGCACCTTCATATAAGCTCATAAGAATCAAAGCGAGACTAAACGGTTGTGCGATAGATTAGTTCCAAGTATGTGCACGCTCTAATTCATTCTTGTTTTAAAGTGATATTGATAGATTTATGCAATAACACAATAGTACAGTTAACGTTATAAGATGTGAAAATATTTACGCCTTATGAGATATTATGTATTCTACGCGTTCCCTTGCATTGTCATTTACATTGATGTACGTCGCCATTCGAATGCGAAAGTAAGTATACAAAAAATCCCACGTAACATAAAACATGCGTGATGGCATGTTTGTAAGGATATGGTAACGTGATGAGGCTAAGTATTACTAAACGTGAATCCAATCTCTTTTGAAATAGTCAAAGGATACTTAGTTTAGTTATTTTTTTGTTGATATGTATGCAAACAAAATACAAAGTTGCAGTGTGTTTTATCTCATTAATTAAACTGTATTTCCACTTTGGAAACTTATTGAACTCTCACGATTTGTAAAATCTTATTCGAGTTGCCTTTTGCAGCGTAATCGGTAGAAAATGTGAGTCAACTTTCTATTGTGGTTTCCCACAGTACCGGCTCTGTTTGGTTCACGTTGTAAATGAATAAACTTGGAACACAGATTGATTCAATACAGTTATATTGCTGTTTAGATTTGAATACTTAAGTCTTCATAAAAAAACTTCTAGAAGTCTGTCGAAATCACTTGGTCTGTATTTTATTCTCGTGCATTGATAGTGCACAAGTTTGGATCCTATAAAGACCAGTATATTTTGTAAGTAAATGTTTATAAACCAGTTGTGCTGAGCACGTCGCGATAAAACGTATCATTTGTTATGAGAGTGTGTGGGAGATACAAGCTGCCGACCAGATGGGAAGTAGTTCGACGAGGCGGGTACGCTCTTCCGCTTTGCTTGTAACATCAAAAACAGATGCACACATTTATTACTAAAATTTTATACTGTGTGTATGCTGTTTGTTCCGAAGACCGGAGTGTTAATTGTTGAATAACAAATGGTTTGTCTAGCGTTGTTATTTGATATAAAATAACTGTCGAATAAAGCTGAAAATCAGTAGAAAATTTGACGATGTTGACACTACCTGATGATCGACATTACTATTGTGATAATCCAGCTGAGACTATAATTTTTCAATTATTGATGTCATTGCATTCGTTTCTTATGTCAATTAATGCTCCATTTATAAGATGTTGAATGGATTATTTAGTCTCGCGTCAGTATTATGATTTTTTTTTATTATCATATCTTGCTACCTAGATGTTGTTTACAATCGAACTCTTGTGGCAATATATGGACTATTTTTCTACTAAAGAATTAAATGCAAGAAAGTTACCACAGTTTATATTTTTTTTAATTTGCACATATGAGTGAAACTACACCAGTTTTCTCGTATCTTGCAGTCTGGTCACACCGGGTCGAAGGTCCCACATAATTTGTGCCACTTTTTCCGGCCACTTCACACGGCCGCGTGCGGACAACACCAATGTGGCTGTAACACAATCCACGGTTTATTTAGTGCATGAATATGCTATAC